GTACCCATGCAGTCAGACAATTTTTACACAAAATCTCCCTCTGGCAATATATATCGTAACTAGACATAAGTTAGAATCTGGGCGGTACCAAAAACTTGTGTGTATGTTTTCAAACTAACACTCCAGTGATGGTAAATACCGATAACAAGCCAAGTTAAACTGAAAAGTGATGGTAAACTCGCCCAGTTTGCGAGTTAAAATCTAACATTTATTTATTTAAACTTTAATGCACAGTGTAATTCTATGTACATTTAGCGAACTTAATTCTGGACGGTGGGGGAGAAAGGGATTGTTAGTAATGGAGACTGAGAATCTCATTGCTAGCAATATACCCAACCAGGTCGACCTCCTTGCGGTTCTCCCAGGAAACTATCATGGTTAATTCCTGATGAATTAATCATGATGGGCTAACTGGCGTTTTTTCATTCTCATCTATCACCCTTCACTGGTGCTCCGCAGGCGTATCCCGTTAGCGCTGGCGGGGTTACCATACCATTTTCACCAATCAAAAAAAAAATTCTGGACGGTGTTCTCTACTAGTCAACCATTGGGCAAACAGAGAAATAAGTAAGCGATGCATTCATGAATTAAGGAAAGATAAAGTGATACTTGATATATTCATAAATTATAAACATATAATTAGACTAATATATACACGTAATATGTAAAATATTATATATATATATATATATATATATATATATATATATATATATATATATATATATAATGGACTATAATAGAAGAACAAATAAAACAATCTACGACTCAAAAAGAGTAATCAGCAAAGTTAAAAGGAAAATTAGAAAAAAGACAATGAATAAAATGTTCTGGGAAATGTAGAAAATTGGACATATTCAATGGTATATTCACCACTCATACATACATCGGCAATCGACAAATACCTCTGACCCTCCATTACGGATTGTAGTCGTGAGCATATTTATTTATTATAACTATTTCCCGCGACTTATTCCATGTGAATATTCGCCGATAACAGATTATCGTCATATTAGATCTTATGAAAACCATTCTCTTAGCAAATTGTCTAAAACGTGACGATTACAATGATTATTATGTATAGATACTTTTTATCATAAAGTTTCACAACAATCACGGTGAAATTTTTATTACTTATAATTAAATATTATTTTATAGATAACTATTATATGAACATTGCAGTTCTTTGAAAGAATAGACAAGATATCTGTTGTAATATAATAAACGGTTAAAGTTTGAACGCGATGTACTCTGAAAGAGCCAATTGAAAATATCTTTTTGCATCTGATAGCTCATTTTATAAGGAAGCTTATAGTCTATTCACGGTATACGATACGACCACGGATAAAGCCAGGGGAAACAACTAGTACTTATTAAAGTTTATCTATGTTGCATAATTACCTATTTTAAATTTTTTACTTTTGTATTTCTTTTTCAAATATAAATAACCTCATCTTGCAAATTGTACGATTATTGTATTGTATTGTAAAATCTTTATTTGTACATAATTCAAATTAAGCACTGATAAATGATTTAATATACAATGGCGGACTTATCCCATAAATGGATCTCTTACAGTCAACCTTTGAGAAGCTGAAAGAAAATTATAGAATGTACAAGGGTAATAACAGTACAATTAAAGATAAACTAAATAATACCCAGTAAAAAATTGAAATTATCTTTATTCTATTATCCTTTTTTATAATAATGATGATATTTACTAATATTATAAACGTAGAAGTGATCTTGCCTATTTGTGTGTTACCCTTAGGCGTCTTAACCGCCTAACTACCTTACTTACCTACTATGACATTCAAATACAAATGATTGTGTATGAATAAATAAAATAAAAAAAAAACTCATAACATTGTCCTAATTTTTTTAGGTATACCTATTGATCAATTAATTATCCCAGTTGTAGGATAAAATTATCATATTAGTGTAGTAATTATTTACCCATAACAATCCTATTAATATAATAAATGCGAAAGTTTGTAACGATGGATACATGTTTGTTACTCTTTCACGTATAAATTACTGAACATATTTGAATGAAATTTGGTAAACAGGTAGGTTATATTCTAATTTAGCATATAGGATACTTTATTTAGTGATTCGCGTAGGAAAACCCGCAGGATAAAACTAGTTTTAAATATTTTTCACCGTATCACATTTCTGTTTTTCAAAGTTTGACTGCGAGAACATTCTATATAATATGTACCTTTTCAATCGACTTCAAAAAGAAGTAGGTCCTCAATTTGATTGTTTATTTTTCTTATATTTATTACCTCATAACTAGGCCAATTGTAAACTAATTTGGGAAATTCTTTATTTTATCTGAAAAGATATACTTACATATTGGTCCCAAAGATAATTTATTAATATCGGTTCGGCAATTTAGTTTTTAAATAAAAATAACTGGTTTATGTCGATTTTTTTTTTATATAGAACACAATCATAATAATGTTTAAATATTTTTCTGTAATATCGTCAATTAATAATAAATATTTACGTACATTTTACGAAACTAAAGACGCCGGAACCTCAATCATCCCACACAAATCTAGCGTCATTGCCAAACTACACAATAAATACCTAATTACTGCAACAAACAATACCAAATTATATCCAATGCATAATGTTTATAATTTCGAAAGACCGCTATTCTAATCGCGAGTTTCCCTTTCGTTTTTCATTAAAGATGTTTATCGTTAAATTGGCGGCAAAACAATGAATGCTTAGGCGCGCTCACATACAGCCTAAAGTCTGATGGCCAGTCACTGTTGTGTTACAGTTCGCGAATTAATGTCCTGGAACATTACTGAAATGGCTTATCTGTTACTAGCGACGCGCCCTGGCTTCATGCGGGTTTTAACCGATTTAAAAAAAGGAGAAGGATGTAAATTTAGACGTATTTTTTTTGTATTCGTCACCTTGAGGTTTATAAATGGCGATGTTTCAGTTTAGTAAATTCTTAGACGAATAAAGACATACTTTATCTTTAGTCTAATAGAAATTTTTTGAACGTCAGTTTAGTAGTCTAGTTTAATTTTTTTTATTCGACTAGAATGACAAAGAAGCAGACGGACTACCTGATGAAAAGTGGTAACCGTCACCTTCAGATATGAACAGTACCATGGGCATAACAGAGTATACTGTTTCGCCCATGATACTCCCCATGCATTTTTAATTCTGAGCACTAGGTTGTTGAACACTGAGGTGTTTATACCTCTGTACCCTCTAATTCTATTCATATCCCATTCTTCAAACCAAAACACAGCCATGCAAACACAACTCCTTCACGGTAGAAACACGAATAGGACAAAGTTACCCAAACAAACGACTTTTGTACAGTCTCCCACTGGTAAACAGTGTTACTAGAAATGAAGTGTTTTTTTTTTTTTTATTTAAAAAAAATACACCCCATGTTACTCTCTGATAATATAACTTTCTATAGGTGAAAGAATATAATCGGATAAGTAATTTTTTGAGTTTATCTATTACGAACAAAAAAATCAAATCTTTCCTTTTCATAATATTATAGAACTCTAGTAGACTTAAGCTCGTCTTTGTACATTTACTTACCTGTCATATTTTTTATGTATTATTTATAGTGTACAATAAAGTATAAATAAATGGATTAGTTGAGACCAATCTGTTGTATACAGGGTGAAATGAAATCTTATAAAAGTTTTTCTACCAAAAGAAACTGCATATTCTTCCCAAATAAAACATGTTCAGTTTCACTTAAGCCGAAAAACGACAAAAAGTTGTCTAAATTTGAATACGATCAAACCGAAAAATTTTATCTGATTAGTGTCAACAATATTTTTATAATATTAGTACTTATTTTAAATTTAATTTCATAGATACATTAATGGAACAGAAACGATGGTCTATAATTTGTAATTAGGATTTAAAGTAATTAATTGGCAATTTTTGAAGTGCTGAGAAATTTACTGACTAACTCTCCGATAACGGGGAACACCAACAACAAAGCAAATAAGTCCATGTCACAGTACCTAGGATAATCTCGTATTACATTAGTTACTAGTACGCTCGACGAAATGTGGGCTGTTGAGTCTTATATTCAAACACAACGGCAATAAGAGACAAATGCCTCTTATATACTCCATTAGGAATATTTCGTCATAGTCGTAGAATACTGACGGATCTATATATGTAATATTTGTCAGATCCGTCAGTATTCTACGACTATGACGATTTTATTTACAAGTAATTTTATACCCGTGTCATATCCCACTGCTAGACAAAGGTCTCCCTTTTACGTCTCTATTTAAAGCTTGGTCCGGCTATTTCCTTCTACAATCAAGGTCCAAATCGTCGACTTACCTATGATTCGATATAATTTATTAAAATTTATTAGCCTCCCACACTCCACTTATACAGTTCTTCGCATTATTATATTACACGTAGTGTATTATATATACATCGACAGTACCAAGGACACACAGAAATCAGTACAGTCAATGCACTGTGTGTACTATACTGTTTTTTATGTATCCATGCTACTCCTCATGTTTTGCCATTCCGAAGAACTAGGGCATTACACCTCTTTACAAAGTAATTTTAATGCAGTATAAACATATCCTGCTATTCCCACCCTTCAAACCGAATCACAGGTACTTGACAGCAGAAACACATGTAGAGCAGATGTGAGTTATAATGCCGAGAACTTTTATACAAAGTCTCTTGAAAGGTATCAATTGTTTAAATACTAGGTATATTTTTTTATCGTGATACAAAAACGTGCATTTTTTTTATCGTAGCTGTTTAATCGCTGATCGAGTACTTGAATACCTGCTAAAGACTTCAGAAAAAAAAATGTTAACGATATTTACAATTGCAATAGTAAAGATTTTTTTAACTCGATACAATGTTTTAATTCATCTGTGAACTCACAAAAAATATAAATATAGTGCCTACACTTCCTTTTTTATAGTTAGATTATATAGTTAATTAATATATTTATTACTCACCGATATTTTTAATAAAAAGCAACATCAGCGAAACCATGATGTAATTCCAAATCATCTTCATTTTCATGATTTCTTATTTATTTCACCAATTCATACCTAATTAATAAGTATCGAACATTATCCCAGTGTCTTTTTACTTTATTACAGAAACAAAAAATCGCATTATTCTTTTCTTAACTAAATAAAGTCACAGTCACTTTTAAATCACTGGCTATTTATTTTAAAAAGTTTACATATATTTTTTAAATTTCTAAATATAAAAACAAATCACATCGCGATTTAAACTTCGAACACAATTATGGCGCGGAACAGTACGTTCAGTACGCGCGCGTCTTTGCCTACGAATGATGTATAAAGGCCCGAACACACTACCGCTGGTGATCGACCCCACCGGAACCACACTTGGTGGTCGCTTCACTGCCGACTCTATGTGCACCGCACCGAAACGCACCTTAACACGATTTCTATTTGCGGTCATTGTAATTTTTGTTTCTATTCCCTTAAAGTTCTAAATAAAATAATAGTATTTATTATTACTTACGATTATATTTGTAGTTTTGTAGAGCGTACGCGCATGAAAAGCACGTTCCCCTATTGTATGTTACGGAGGACGATTGGAAAAACAATGGTAGCAAAAAATTTTAAGGACATAGATAAAGTAGCTCGTTACACAGAGTTAAGGAATGTTGACATTATTGTTCCATAAATCACATTATTGTACAATGTATTAATTCTTTGCATTGTAATACGGTTGTAATACGATTGCGTGAGCGAAAAAGGGATTGACTCAAATAATTTAAATAGCTTTCACCTAAAATATTTTTACTGTATTAACAATTAAATATAAACAATTACAAAGCAAGAACTAGGTAAACGTTTAAAAATTCATCCATAACAACATTATTCCATGGATCTGACTCCAATAAGAGGAAGAATGTTTAACTATCCGTTTATCTGCTTAGTTTTCATAACTTTGTTTTGATGGGTGAAAATGGTATAGTAACCCCGCCTGCGCTAACGGGATACGCTGGCGGACCACCAGTGAAGGGTGATAGATGAGAATGAAAACAGGCCAGTTAGCCCATCATGATGAATTCATCAGGAATTAACCATGATAGTTTCCAGGGAGAACCGCGAGAAGGTCGACCTGGTTGGGTATATTGCTAGCAATGGGATTCTCAGTCTCCATTACTAACAATCCCTTTTCTCCCTTCATAACTTAGTGAAATTTGACATGAAGATATACTAAACCCTGAAGAAAGAGACAGGCTTATTTGTGTAAATAAAATAACTGTAATTTGGTGGGGGGAAAGGGATTGTTAGTAATGGAGACTGAGAATCTCATTGCTAGCAATATACCCAACCAGGTCGACCTCCTCGCGGTTCCCCTGGAAACTATCATGGTTAATTCCTGATGAATTCATCATGATGGGCCAACTGGCCTGTTTTCATTCTCATCTATCACCCTTCACTGGTGCCCCGCCAGCGTATCCCGTTAGCGCGTGCGGGGTTACCATACCATTTTCATCCATAAAAAAAATAACTGAAATTTGGTAGGTTAAGTAATATAATATAACATATAATAATATATATAACATATGATATCTACACATCGCGGAAGCGTGTTGGTACCATAATCTGCTACTCCCTATTACGGAATGCAATTATGTTCTAAAGAACTTCGATATGATGCCTACGACCACCTTTCACTATCGCAGCGCTCGTAATCGCTAGGGAATGTATCCTCACACATTAGAACCAGAATGGTCACGCAAAATGCGGTTTCAGAGGAACTTCTTCACACAAACATGTGTCGTGGTTGTGGAATGATCTTCCTTCCGAGGCTTTGCCTACAGACTACAATATGGGGTTCTTTAAAAAGGACGTATTAAGGTTTCTTAAGGGTCGGTAGCACGCACATAACTTCCCTGGTGTTGCAGACGTCCATAGTCTACCATAGACTATGGACCCCGCTTACCATTAGACGGATCGTATGTTTGTTTGCCACCATAGTAATATAAAAAAATCTGCTGAGAAGAAAGAGCAAGAAACTTAACTAATATTTTTTTCAAATAAAATTTAATTTACGACTCAGAAACATTGGTAAAAACTCTTAAAATAATACTAAATGAATTCGAATTTACACTGTATATTAAAGTACACGTCATACGTGACGATCTCCATGCCACAGTTTAAAGATAAGGCCTCCTTGTTCAGTCATAACTGTGTACCGCCAATCATAGTTACAAAACATCCGAAACCGTTTCGTCCTATTTCCGGCTGAGCCCAGTAAGGAAACGGGCTGTTTTAAATCGACTCAACTTCGTGACACTACAATAAGATACATAGTTGTTTGCCTGATTTCCCACGATTCCTCAATAGTTCAAAGTCGGTTCGTGTAGTCCTGTACTTAATAGGTACGTACTTATTGTTCAGATTTCCGTACGCTTCAAGACCAGTCTTGTGGGGGGAAAGGGATTGTTAGTAATGAAATTTGACAGCCCCATTGCATGCAACATACTCTATCAGGTCGACCTCCACGCGGTTCCCCCTGGAAACCATAGTGATTAATTCTTGTTCAATTGGTCACTATGGGCCGACTGATCTGCCTTCATTCTCACTTGTTACCCTTCACTGGTACCCCGCCAGCGTATACCGATAGCGCAGGCGGAGTTACCACTCTATATTCACCCATTAAAAAAAAGACCACTCTTGTGAATCGGAATACGAACTGATTTTGATTTGATAAAGTAGATATCTTTATCAAAATGTTGTGAAATAATTATTATGATGGCTCCTACTGATTTAGGCATGGGTAATATGCATAACGATCCGATATCTATATATTGGGTTCCTCTGGACACTCGTAGCGGAAAAAGGTCATCCCTTGTCTATCGGATATCTGTTTTCGAATATGTTAAAAATCTGTGATGCAATATTATTTTTTGGATAACAGACTTTTAAGATATTCGCTGATGGACCAGCATATAGTTATTGTAACTGAAATAATTAGATATTAATAATTAGATATTGTAAGATATTACACTCCCCTATAATACAGGCGTTTATAGACTACAGTACCCATTTACCATCAGACGGACTGTATGCTTATTTTATCAGAACGCAATGAGGACTTGACTTGATTGAGTTAAGTTGAGGGAATTGACTTGATTTTGATAAAAAAAAAGAGTTGAAGACGGTGTCTAACAAAAAGTATATTTACAGGGATCACGGACCTCGTCAAAAACCTTAGTAAAATAAACAAGCAACCCGGCCAGGCTTCGCACGGGTGCAATATTTGTTTGTGTAACTTTTACACTATTCAACACAATAAAACTGATGTTTTAGCGCGTAAACTAAACGACGTGTAAAATGTATTTTACTTTTAACATAAAAAACCATCCTTTGGCTGAAATATTAAACTTAGATATATGGTGTATATATATATATATATATATATATATATATATATATATATATATATATATATATATATATATATATATATATATATATATATATATATATATATATATTTGTAAAACTAAAGGTAAAGATAATTTTTGCTACAGATTTTATTCCTTTATTTCAAACCGTTCGGGTAGCGCATGCCATATTATGGAATTTTTGCCGACTTCAAATACATTTATGCAACTTAGAATGGCAAACAAGCTGACGGCCCACCTGATGGAAAGTGATAACCGGCGCCGGTGATAACTTTTGTACAAAGTCTCTCTCTGGTATGTATTTATATATTAATTTTCTTTACATACCTACATCATAGGTAGGTGTATACAGTTCTCTTTTATTGTATTATATGTTAAATGTAAAAAGATATTATTGAGTTTTTCTTTAGCTGTACGGTCTTTATCCTTGCACATTCTACAGTTTTCTTACAGTTTCTCAAAGGTTGACTGTGAGACATCCCTTTATGGGATAAGTCCGCTATTGTACTCGTATATTTAATATTTTAATGTGTCCACTATAATTTTTTTTTTACAATACAATAATACATATATTCACAATTGGTTAATTGAAAAAGGAGTTTCAGAATAAAATCGGAATAATACTATATGGGATGGAGAAGGATATAGACTACATTTTAACCCGCTAAGTAAACGTATCCGGTCACGCGGACGAAGTCGACGGTAAAAACTAGTATTACATAAAAGCAAACATCGGGACCTGTTAAAGAAAGGAACGGCGATATAGGTATTCTTTATTTTCCTGCCCTAGATATTTTTTATATTCAACGTGACGTATGTAGTGTATATTTCATATATTGAGCTGACGGTCCACTTTATTTTCGCTGAATAACGCTCGTTAAGCTTAGTCAAAAGTTTTGAAGCGAATAGGATTTACTAAGGACATATATATAGTAGTTACTGAGCTATATTCACTAGCTAGTAACCATTGCTATTCACTAATCCAAAGTAATTTTATTTCTGTAATATAGTAAGCTATGTTATTTTGTAAAGGTTTTTTTTTTATGTGCGAAAATGGTATGGTAACCCCGCCTGCGCTAACGGGATACGCTGGCGGAGCACCAGTGAAGGGTGATAGATGAGAATGAAAACAGGCCAGTTAGCCCATCATGATGAATTCATCAGGAATTAACCATGATAGTTTCCAGGGACCACGAGGAGGTCGACCTGATTGGGTATATTGCTTGCAATAGGATTCTCAGTCTCCATTACTACCAATCCCTTTCCTCCCATTTTGTAAAGGTTCATTTTTTTATTTTGAACTCACTTCACTTACATTTTCACTTCATCTAATTTTCATATCTGTAAACTTTAGAATAGCCCCATGGAGGCATAGAATAGGCCACCCCTTCGTTTCCCGTGGGTGTCGTAAGAGACGACAAATGGTGGAGGGATGGGCAGCAGCGTCCCTTTTAAAACATCTCTAAAGCCTAACTGCGATTGCCAATCAGTCTGCCAAGCGTGGCAACTACTGACAAAACCCCCCAAGGGGGAGGCTTATGCTCAGCAATGGACGGTTAAGAGCTGATATGATGATGACGATGATTAACTTTTAGAATGAACAGGTAAACTGGAATAAGTTTAGAAAACTGAAAGTATATTCCTAAGAATGGCAGCATTGCTACTTCAATTCACTACGGCCGTTAATAAAATGGTACCGTCATCGATCTTACTTACAGAATACCAAATGTAAATCACTTGCAAATGCGTTAGTGAAATACGAGTTTAACTTTACAATATAGCATTACTGTGGTTATATTTTTTATAGACTAACTTCCAACTAAAAAAATTGGTGATAAGTAGATGTTATATCTAATAATGGCGACACACATACCTAAGCTCACTATGACGCTATCATCGATCTCACTTACAAAATACCAAATGTAAATCACTTGCAAATGCGTTAGTGAAATATAATAAATAATAAATCATTTATACAGCTACAATACAACAATATTAATTAAAAAAATTTACATTAAAATAATAAAATTATATGGTAGCAGCTGAAATGGTCCCCACACAGCGTAAGCTGCAGCGTGGTGCTACAGCGCTGATTTTCAGTGGGGCCACTACTCGATAGGTAACAACAGGATGTAATTTATAACACACTGGACCTTATAGAAGATATGAACATTGTATGTGAATATAATAATATATTATTTATTGTACAACATATATAAAGTATAATGAAGCTATAAAAATAATTATATATATTAAATAATGTTATTTGAATAATTTTGTACTCTAAGTATGCATGCATTAGTTATAATTTATCTGCCAAATTTACAGTTTCTGTACTTGAAATATATGTGTTTTTTTTAAGTGACATTTAAAAATTGAAATTATAGTATAACTTTATACTATAGTAGTAGTGTGTTTATATTTTTTATAAACTAACTCCCAACTGAAAAGTGAGTTATTAGGTACATGTTTGAAATGTTTTTATGCGTTATCTACCTGTGGCATCACAACCCCCAAATGGATTGACAGATTTCAATATGACTTTTTTTTATTTCATTTGATGGCAGATTAAAACGGAATGGTTTTTGTTTAATTAAAATCTGTTTACAGATAGATATAGAGCTTTTAAAAGCAACCTTCTATATCGTATGTAAACAAACACATTACCTTAAAAATAATTGAAATATTTTTTTTACTTTTTTACAACCGACGTCAAAAAGATGGTTTTCAATTCAGCCATATGTTTCTTTTTATGTTTATCACCTCGTAAAACTATTAGTTGTAAACCTATATAGAAAATTTTTTTTCTTATCTGAAAGGATATACTTACAGATTAGTCCCACAGAAATATTTTCAATATCAATGCAGTAGTTTAATTTTTATATCAATATAACTTTTTTCTCACAATTGAAATTTTTTTGTGTGAATTAATTATTATTTATATAACAAAAGTGTCACATTTTATGCCCATCAATGTAATAGTAAATTTTAGATCAAAATAACTGGTTTCATCATATATAGTTTTTTTTTTGTGGGAGACAATTATTAATTTTTTTTTTATTATTATTTTAAGGGCTTTTACCTTTTCAGGTATAAATTATTCATCCTAAACTGATTTCTCAAACAAAACTTTATCTACCTTCCCTAGACGCGGAAAGAGATTAATTAATGGGCATATTAATTATTTAATGTTCGCAATATTATAATGTATTAGAAGAAAGATATAAATTTGTATACAGTATTGCATTGCAACGATATAAATTATCGTTTAAAACTTAAGCGAAAATAACTGATTTTTCTCACAATTGATTCCCTTATTTTTTTTTTATGTTTCACCGCCTTATCGCTTATTATTACGTCTTTATATCCTGAAGATGTCAGAAGGAATAATGACACAATCATCACGCGGACGTAATAAGTCAAAATAATTTAGACTTTCAAAATATTGCTTGTGTACCTTTCCTATTCGTGTTTTTTTTTTTTTGCTGTGTTTCGGTTTAAATTATTAATTTACAGGGGAAGGGATTGAGTCCTAGGAATGGCGGATTATCAGTATCATTGGACGAAACAATATACTCTGTTATGTCCATGGGTCATGTCTATAGGCGTCGGTTACCGCTTTTCATCAGGTAGTAGGCCGTCAGCTTGTTTCCATTCTAAGTTGCATAAAAAAAAAACTTTTATGCGAACTTCGTGTGACCGAAATATATTGATTAATGGAGATAAATAGTAACCTATGTCCTTCCACATCCCACACAGTACACGTATACCAAATTCAATGCAATCGATTAAGCCGTTAAACGCAAGGGGTAACGAATTTATTTACTTTCACATTTATAGGATTACCAACATATAGATACAGCTAAACATTTTAGTGGTTATTTTAATACACTGGTAGATTAGATAAATTGCATTATCATTCATGTTTTTTTAATGGATGAAAAAAAAATTAATTATTTAATATTCGCAATATTTGAAGTAAGATTTTTAGAAGAAACATTGAAATTTGCATACAATATTGCATTGCAACGACTAGTCAGATTATCATATTAAAACTTAAGCGAAAAGCCAAACTGATGACGAATTCGGAAATAGCTATTCCCTTATTTGGCGTTGAGTACCTATTATGTTTCACCGCCTTATCGCTTATCATGTTAACGTCTCTTACATCCTGAAGATGAGAAGGAATAATGACACAATCACCACGCGGACGTAAGGCAAAACCGTGGTCAAAATAATCACTACTTCAGATGAAAGACATTTGCGCCAAGATCGATCTGCTTGTTGTCCGTGAGTTTTCGTGTTTCAACGGTGACCGAAAGTAGTTGTGTTTGCATTGCTGTGTTTCTTGTTCCCAAAAACCAAAAGGGGCGGCATTTGGGGGACATAAATGAGATTACGACGGGGCAGCTGAGAAACCTACAACCAGAGGACTTTCAAGGAGTCCTCAGTGGAATGGCAACGCATGTCACAGGGGAGTACTTTGAATGGGATAAAATTGACCTGAATAATTGTAAAATAAAATTTTTAAAAAACTTTTATACGTACTGTCGTATACGCTGTCCATGGTTAGTCCATTGTGATAAATACACTTGGAATTCAGCAGGATGGTTTGTAAAGGTGCGTTATACTGCGTCTATGTTTTTTTAATGGATGATAATGGAATGGTAACCCCGCCTGTGCACGGTATACGCTGGCAGGGCACCATTGGGGATGATAGGTGTAAATGAAAAAAATCTCAGTTAGTCCATTGTGATAAATACACTTGGAATTCAGCAGGATGGTTTGTAAAGGTGCGAAATATATTGTTTTTTTAATGGATGATAAAAGTAACCTATGCCTTCTAACGGTATACGCTGGCACACCAGTTGGGGATGATAGGTGTAAATGAAAAAATATCTCAGTTAGTCCATTGTGATAAATAAACTTGTAATTCAGCAGGATCGTTTGTAAAGGTGCGTTATACGAACTCATGTTTTTTTAATGAGTTATAATATTAAATCCGATGTGCTAATATACGCTGGCAGGGCACCAGTTGGGGATGATAATTATGAAAAAATATCTCAGTTAGTCCATTGTGATAAATACACTTGGAATTCAGCAGGATGGTTTGTAAAGGTGCGTTATACTGCGTCTATGTTTTTTTAATGGATGATAATGGAATGGTAACCCCGCCTGTGCTAACGGTATACGCTGGCAGGGCACCAGTTGGGGATGATAGGTGTAAATGAAAAAATATCTCAGTTAGTCCATTGTGATAAATACACTTGGAATTCAGCAGGATGGTTTGTAAAGGTGCGTTATACTGCGTCTATGTTTTTTTAATGAGTGATAATGTAATGGTAACCCCGCCTGTGTTATGGTGTAATGGTTACCATTCAATTATTTTAAAAAATATACTCATTTCAAAAATACTAAATTATTACCAATATTTTTTTTTATACAACTTAGAATGGCAAACAAGCTGACGGCCCACCTGATGGAAAGTGGTAACCATCGCCTATAGACATGTTTTTGTGATAGATGAGAATGAAAACAGGCCAGTTAGCCCATCATGAAGAATTCATCAGAAATTAACCATGATAGTTTTCAGGGAGAACCGCGAGGAGGTCGACCTGGTTGAGTATATTGCTAGCAAAGTCTCCATTACTAACATTATGTCTTTATGCTTTTAGGCTTATGTCTTTAGGCGACGGTTACCATTTTCCATTAGGTGGGCCGTCTGCTTATTTGCCATTCTAAGTTGAATAAAAGAATATATTAAAACAGATTTAGATATAATAGTACATATCCGCATAGACAAAAAATATCTCCTCTTAAAAGCTGATTAAAACATAATATACATGGTATGTATATTCATTCAATATCCATTAGTTATAGTACTTTGTTCCGAGATGAATATTATACCAACTATAGAATGAAAACCCCGTTAAAATCTATTCAGAACTTTTTGCGTAACGCTCGAAGAAACGCAATTTCGAACGCATGGACCATTTTTTGCTTCGGTTTGCGACCCAAATTTTCCTTCTATATTGTAATATTACTTATCTCTATATCATTGAGAGCAGATTCCTAGAGTGGTCGATATCGGCTCCTTGGGGTCGAAGTTGGATTCCCAGGGGTCGACATAACCGAATACTGAGGGCCTACCATGAAGTGTTTTCCGAAATTTCGGAGCCGAACGAAACACAAATTTGATGTTAAAATTACATAATACATGCCGTTTGGAAATATTAAAAATGTTAAAATATTGTTCCTTTGGACTTTTATGATAGAATGTATGACGAACGAAATGTTAAATTCTATTTATTCATCCGATTTTGGTATTAACAAAAACACGAAAATAAGTCCGAAATTTCGGAATTTCATTTCATGGTAGACCCGCTGATTGTGGGGGTCGACATACAACACAATTTATTAACAGAAGTTCTTATTTGACACTTTCAAGATACTGTATATTATACTGTAACTTGGAAGTAATTTGTATTAATATTTAGTAATTATACTTGTTTATTAATTATAATTATAATTACCAGAGGGAGACTTTGTACAAAAGTCGATTGCTTGGGTACCTCTGTCCCATTCGTGTTTCTACCGTGAAGCAGTTTTGTTTGCATGGCTGTGTTTTGGTTTGAAGGGTGGGATATGGCGTGAATTTACTGGGTACAGAGGAGAAACACCTGAGTCCTCAGAAATGGCAACGCATGGGGGGTATCATGGGCGAAACAGTATACTCTGTTATGTCCGTGGTACTGCTCATGTCTATAGGCGACGGTTACCACTTTCCATCAGGTGGACCGTCAGCTTGTTTGCCATTCTAAGTTATATAAAAAAAAAAAAAAAAAAAGCATTCGGGTAAATAATGAGACATAAAATATATTAATCAACTATTTATTTCACTCACTTTAAAGCAAGTGCGTTGTGTAAAACATTATTTAAAACACTATATGTACATGACTTTTAAAGTCATTATTGTATTGTTACATTTCCTCTTTATTGTAAACTTTTACCTTCTCATTCATAAAAGCGTCAAATCTCTCATAAAGCTACTTTAACTATTGAATTGAGTTGTTCTTTCTCTTTCTTTTACACTAAATTTCCAATTTGAAAGAATGTGACAAAACCGTGTAAAAGTTAAAATAGATTTGTAGGTTTTAGTTCTTATGAATAAGAAGGCAAAAGTGCACCGGTGGGGGGAAAAGGCATTGTTAGTAATGGGGTCTAACTGACCATAGTAACTAGCAATAAAAAAAAAATCAGGTCGACCTCTACGCGGTTTCCCCTGGAAACCATCGTGGTTAATTCTAGTGAAATTCGTTACGCTAACTGACCTGCTTCCATCGTCACCTATCATCCCTCACTGGTGTCCCGCCAACGTATAATGATAGCGCGGGCGGGGTTAGATACCACATCACCCATAAAAAAAGTGCACCTGTTATATATAAGGGTCGTCCATTAGATAGATAGATACTCTTTATTGTTTCCTCCAAAAGATTACAATAGTAAACTTATTATAAATATAAACGATTACAAGAAATAATCGCACGATGGCACGCAAATAAGGCTATAAATTCTATTATTTGTAAAATATATTTATCTAAATTCATGAGGTTCAAAAGGGGAAGGAGGAGGAGGATTTGGAAAAATTACAAAATACCACAAAGAAGGTGGGAGGATGTAGTAAGATACCACGTGTATTTACTTTCCCATTGAACGCGCAATTTTTAAGCCGAAAAGCAGCGCATGACCATTTTTTTTTACAACTTAGAATGGCAAACAAGCTGACGGTCCACCTAATGGAAAGTGGTAACGTATAAAATATACATGATTTTGGGTAAGGGGTTAATTTAAAATCTCGTTATGTATCATTGGGGAGAAGGGGGGTTCAAAAGTTGCTAAAAAATATCACGTAATTAATGGACGACTCCTTATAAACAGAAAATTATCTAGTATTTTGAATATTTCATAACGAGAAGCACTAGTGGCAGTGTTCATTACGCGCTCATTTTCAGCGGCCTAACGTTCCTATGGTTTTGCAGGCATCCAATGCTGCAGAACTTGTATTGGTTGTACTCGAACGGCTTCTTTGGTAGTCGCGCGCCGCAGAGGAAGCATCGTGGCTCGTCCAATTTTGCCTGAATTAATACAATATCATATTAAATTTCCATATGGTTTTGGCATAAGAACCTTTACCGTAGGTGTCGAAAATGGCGACTAAGAAAATTAAATGGTCGAGGGATAGGCAGTAGTGTCCCTCTTAATACATTACTAAAGTCTAACTGCGGTTGCCAACTCGCGCGCCAAGCGTAACAACTACTGATAAACCCCCATTTATGGAGGAGACCATGTTTAGCAGTGGATAGTTAAGAGCTGATATAGTAATATGCTCAACGAATATCATAGAGTAGACGTATTCCATTGTATAGTACATATTATGTTTTGTATTAAATAAAAAAAATTGTGTAACTTTTTTTTCATTTGCTACAACTTACACAATTTTTGTTTATCTCTTGATATAAATAAAGATTTTATCTATCTATCCCAATTAATGATATATTCTGGTTAAGCAGACGAAGTCACGGCACTTCAAAGCTAGTGAATATATAAATAATGTTTCCACCTTCTCAGCATCAGTCAACTGCAAGAATTTGTTGGTGCGTATCTTCTCAACTTGTTTCTCTCTGTCGCGCTGTCGCTTCGCACGCTTCTGCTGCGCTTTCTTCTCCTTTTCTTGTTCTAGAAGTTCCAGGGTTATTGGCCCCGGAATTTGAGACTGCAAGAAAGTAAATATAATAATCGATATACGAGTAGGTATATATATATATATATATATATATATATATATATATATATATATATATATATATATATATATATATATATATATATATATATATATATATATATATTATATATATATATATATATATATATTGCATAGTTGTATTTCTCGGGGAACTGTCCCTGGAACAATCGGAACGCGATCCTCGTGTCCGCGTGTGGTGTCGCCGCGTAGGGCGTCTTCAGATCGTGGTTCTTTATACATGGATTGCTACCAGCTGTCAGCAGTTGCCTGTTAGAATTAACTTCAGTTTTTTTTTATACAACTCAGAATGACAAACAAGCTAACGGCCCATCTGATGGAAAGTGGTAACCATCGCCTATAGATATGAGCAGTACCATGGACATAACAGAGTATACTGTTTCGCCCATGATACTCCCCATGCGTTACCATTCCTGAGGACTTAGGTGTTATTCCTCTGTACCCTGTAAATTCACGCCATATCCCACCCTTCAAACCCAAGCAGCCATGCAAACACAACTGCTTTACGGTTGAAACACGAATGGGACAGAGGTACCCAAGCAATCGACTTTTGTACAAAGTCTTCCTCAGTTATAAATATTACGCTATTAGTGGATGCAGGTGGCACAGGACCGTCCTTTATGGCAGTCTATGGGGGAGGATTATGTCCAGCAGTGGATGGGTAATGATGATAGCTATCCTTACTAATATTATAAATGTGAAAGTGAGTTTGTTTGTGTACTTTATAGCGCCTTAACAATTTAAGCATACATACATACATACATACATACATATCTGTCACCCATTAGGGTAGGCAGAAACAATGGAACACCAAATACTTCGATTCAAACAAACCTCTTTCGCTTCTCCACATTCATCAATCTTTTCATACACGCTCGCCGGTTACGGGTACTTTTAATTTGGCCCTTCTTCAGCACGTCGCCTATTTGGTCAACATACGTCCGTCTAGGGCGGCCCCTACCGACATCTCCATTCATTCTTGCTCGATAAATCTCTTTCGTAATTCTTCTTTCATCCATCCTCACCAAATGACCAAACAAACAATTTAAGCAATCAATATGAAATTTGGTATACACATACTGTATGGAATGGAGAAAGATAGGCCAGAATTTAAACAGGTCAGTATACGTATCCCGGTCATACGAACGAAGTCGTTTAGCGTAACTGTTGACTGGTAGAGAATGCCATCAATCAGTAAATCCGCTCTATAGACATATTTTAATGTGTGCAAATGTATAAATAAATAAATAAAAGCTAGTAACTTTATTAAAATATCATTCTTTACCATTATCCTAAGACGTTTTATTAGGGATGCTGCTACGCATCCCTCGGCTGTTCAGACCATCTTTACTATTATTGATTGGAAACATCATTATTTCATAATACCCTATGGTAACCTTTTACCGTTAGCCACACCTGTCTGGTAAATGGGTTACTTACGTAACGATCTCCGGTTTGGCAGCTATCGCGGCTTTATGCAGCGCCGTGTTACCGTCGGCCGGGTCTTGAGTGTTACACGCCGCCTCCAACTCAGCGCTCTCCCAGCCTTCCAGTATTGTTTCCAGAGAATGACACTCGTCGCCCAATATTAATTTCCACATCTGGAAATTTCTATTTATGTTAGGATGATAAGCAGAGTGGTCTGTCTGATGGTAAACGACTGTGTAACCTGCTTAGTTGCAGAAATAATAAAAAAAAAAACAAAACTGATGACTTAGTACAAAGTCTACTACTAATTTTACCGCCCATGTTGCCAGATTGTGGAATTCTCTTCCTATATCTTTCCGTGAGAGTCAATCTCTAAATATTTTTAAGAGTAGACTTAAAGAGCATCTTTTATCTCTATGAACATATATTTATCTATATGTGTAGGTATATTATATGTATATGTGTATGTATGTATGTGTAAATATATGCATAGGTGTATATAGGGTATGTGTATTCATACGACTAAATATAATGTAATTAATTTAAATTTGTCTAGTTTCTTTGTTTAAAAATTTCCACAATATTGTACACCACTCTACCCGCTGACATTGATGCTCCTTCCCACTTTGGATTTGCTGGAAGAGAACTCTTTTAGAGTTAAGCTCGCCTTTGTACATTTGATTACCTCTGTCATATTTTTATAAATAAATGGTGTGAACAATAATGTATAAAGTAAAAAAAATATTACCTTCTTAATATTCGGCGATATTTTCTGCGGTTGTTTCTTCGGAGGTTGCTTAATTTCTTGTTTGTTGTCGTCCGCCTTCTTCTTCTTCTTCTTTTTCTGATCCTTCTTCTCCGGACAATTCTCCACTTCGCTGTCAGAGCTCGCCGGACACGTAACATTGCAGTCGTTGAGCAGGTCCTTCCTGGAATTGGTGATGACGCCTCTACTGCTTTGCTCTGATAATGTTTTAATCCAGCCAACCGGTGTCTCCGAGTCGATATAACATGGGCCTTCGTCTTCGCTCGACATCAATTGGGTTGGCAACTCGCGGGGGACGCGCTCTCTGTAGATTCATCAAATATTAAAAATAACATTATTGATCAAAAATCATTTAAAAGTGATTCATTGACTCTTAATAAAGGTATAACCTGTAATTCGAAAGCCGGATCCTCTATTCTGTACCATAAGTTTTCAACATGGACGATAACGTCCCCTTTTGGAAATTTAAATTTTTTAGGGATGGGGGGCAAGAGATGGCCCAGAGAAAATCAGGAAGCGAGACATAAGATCACTCCTCATTGAGATAGCGTAGAGGGGGCATAAACAAATAAAAAATATTCTAAAAAAGGCAGGTAGTAAATAAAATTAAAATCAGAGACACTAAAAAAATCATATTGGCAAAGTGAACAGTGGGCTATATTAATTTGAGAAAATATGCTCTATACAAATCCTATATATAATCAATTTAGTTATACAATTTAAAATATATAAAATTTAATTGACTTATTTAGTATAAATGCTAGTCTATTATAGGATTTACGTGACTGTTGAAGAAAGAAGGGTAATTTTATTTGAACATATACCAAGAATTTCTTTCATTAATTAGATCCCTGTATAAAAATTACATAAGACACGGCAGAAGTGAATTCATGTATCATTTAGTATAAATTTGAAACACGATCTAGACATACATTATTACAAAAATTTTAAAAACTTTTTGGAACTTTTCATTACAAACGTCTATGACTAGTTTTTTTTTTTTTTTTTTAAATATTTGCAAAGGGCAGAATTGAGTGCACAATTTAGTTGAATTAACTCTATTTGCAATATAATTTAATTTCTTTCTCTATGCATTTTAAATTGACTTTATAAATTTATTTACCTGGATTTTGCTCTATCTACAGGCTTGTTAGGACTTTTTTGAGGCTTTTTCCTTTCAACATTTGGATCAGATGACGTGGTTTTCACTCCAACGGATGCTATTAATGCCTTTTGAAATAATTCCATGGTATCTGTAACATTTTACAAAATATCAAAATATATATATAATAATAATAATATATACTAGTAAATAAAAGTAATATAGACTCGGTGCTCATGCACCGATCCCAAATAATAATAAATGGCAAGGGGTAAAGAAGAAAAAATATAGTATGTAATAGGACTTTATCAATAAAAATAACATGAATTATATACAAACCATAAAGTGGCTCTGGACCATTCCTTATGGCAGTCTATGGGGGAGACCTATGTTTAGCAGAGAGGATGATAATATACGAACCATATACTTCAATACTGGCGACAGTTTCGTGTACTCTCTTCACCTCTTTGTATGTAGGTTTCTTGGTGGGGAAAGGCAGCGGTCGCACCCTCAAATCCTCCCTTTTTAAGGGCGAATTTTTGCCAAATATCGCCGACTGGTTTACAGAGCCTACCGCCCGATATAATATTAAGGAGCAACCGGCCAGATCATTCTCCCATCCTGACATAATTTCTTGAACATGCTGTAAAAACGAATAAACATGTAGGCATTTTCATCATCTTTTAAACCAATAATAAAGGGGGCATTAAAAAAATACACGTAGCGGTGGGGAGAAAGGATTGTTATCAATGGGGAGATTAGCCCCCATTGATATCAATATATCCTATCAGGTCGACCTCCACGCGGTTTCCCCTGGAAAACTATCATAATTCATTTTTGACGAATTCATCACGATGAACCTACTGAACTGCTTCATTCTCACTTATAATCCATTCCGTTTTCATCCGTTACACAACTGACCTCTAGGAACTGCGCCTGGTTGTAGCGGCGCAGGCTGGCGCCGGCAGAGCGCGGCGCGGCGGCGTGCTGGTCGCGCGCGGCCTGCGCCTGGCCCTGGCCGCGCCGCGTCACGTACGAGTGGTGCGTCTTGTGCACCACCGGCACGCCGCCCGAGAACACCGCGCCCGCGAAGTGCCCCCCCGACACCATCAGCACCGCCCACCGCTGGTACCCGGCCAGCGTCAGCCGCTGGCAACGATCCACCCACGCCGTGCCATCGCCGTCGGTCGACAGCTCCTCCTGTGACGACCGTTCGTTTTTAAAATATATACACTTGAAACATTTATAAAAACAAAGTATCAAAAATATTATCGTCATATCAGTCATTAACTGTCCACTGTTAAACACAGGGCTGCTCCATAAGGGTGATTTTGTTGTTGTTGCCACGCTTGGCAAGCCGATAGGCAACCACGTTTAGACTTTTGGTGATGTTTCATGAGGAACGCTGTTGCCCATCCCTCGGTCCATTAAGTTCCCTAGTCAACTCTTACGACATCCACGGGAAAGGAAAGGGTGGATCATGCTAGGCCGGGACCATATGGCATATTTATATATTTACACTTTATTGCACCATTTACAAAAATAATAGATACAATATTATTGGTCAATATACTGTCTACTGATCAGGAACATAGGCTACAGACCCAATTTTATTTTGAGCTTTTTGTTATAATAAACAATCTTTTCCTTTCAATATGAAAAAACACTGCCTATTTTTGATATAACACTGTTTTCATAACATTTGTAAGTCTCATTAGACAATGTAATCTCTTTTTAGTGTATATCTGTGTTTACACATTTATTTCCATTCCATTTCCATAGATAATATAATTTGAATATTAAAAAAATCTCACATTTTTAATTTCTCACACTATTAAATCAAAAGAAATTGTATTCTGAGCACACTTCACTACACACTTTACGACGCGACACTAAACACAATGTTACCTTCCGGTGATGCAATATGCACCTATAGATACAGAACACCTGGCCCTTCTTATTAGTGAAGAAAGCCTTACAGTGCCTGGTCGCTGCCGCAAACAGTTCACTTGTTGGGTTGCTGTTACTCTCCTCTGTGTCTGAATCACTGCCTGATACACTGGAGTCATCTATAAAGGAGTTAGTGTATCAAAACTGTGACAATAGGTGCAAAATGGGGGGAAGGGATTGTTTGTAATGCAGTCTGCATTACTATCAGTTTCAGTTTCATTGCTAGCAATATACCTTGCCAGGTCGGCTTCCACATGGTACGCCTTGAAAACCATCATGTCGAATCTCAGGCATATCAATGGGCTAACTGACCTGCCTTTTCATTCTCACTTGTCATCTCTCACTGGTACCTCGCCAAGGTATATCATTAGCGCAGGTGGGGTTACCATTCTATTATCATCCATTGAAAAAAAAATAGGTGCAAAATGTGTGTTCTTTATCCCTGGACCTTGCTCCTGATGAATGCTATTTTATTAATTGTTCACTGTGAAACATATCCTATAACACCAAATGAGTGGGGGAATAGAATAGTAACAAGGCTTGATAGCCTTATAGGCATTTTTAAGGGTGGGATGGCCAATTGAATCATGCCCTCCCCTACATCAGTAGCTTAGCTAGCTCTTTTTAAGAAGCCAAGGACCCTTGAAAAATAATCATAAATATGCCAATGGATAGCCCCAATTACTAGCAATATACCTTATTAGATGTACCTACATAGAATCTCGCTTAAAAACCACCATAACCTGATGAATTTATAATCTTGGTCAACATGAGGGAGACTTTGTACATAAGTCGATTGCTTGGGTACCTCTGTCCCATTCGTGTTTCTACAGTGAAGCAGTTGTGTTTGCATGACTGTGTTTCGGTTTGAAGGGTGGGATATGGCGTGAATTTACTGGGTACAGAGGAATAACACCCGAGTTCTCAGGAATGACAATGCATGGGGGGGTATCATGGGCAAAACAGTATACTCTGTTCAGTGTTCATGTCTATAGGCGACGGTTACCACTTTCCATCAGGTGGGACGTTAGCTTGTTCGCCATTCTAAATTGTATAAAAAAAAAATTACTTCTTCTCCACATTTCATCTTTCATTAATACCCTGCCAGTATAAACCAATAGGTGTTAACCAAGTAGGATTACTACTTTATTATCATTTAATATCAAAATCATATATCTAATAATATGTTAATTTTAACTCCCACATAGAGGGTCATAAGCAAATGTGACATAATTAGACAGACAATGAGCATATACCTTACCTTGTCTAGAATTAAATTGTCCTAAAGACAAAGGACTTTTGCCAAACAGTTTCCTTTTTAAATTATGTGTATGCCAATGATGCTTGTAATGTGCTATTTGCTGGGCTCTTGTATCAAATGGGCCAACACCACAGCATGAACAGCAGTTGCCATCTGCTGGTCCATTGATAGTTAAAGCATTTAAACGTTTCAACACACTTTGCTCATCAACTGTAAACAAATAATATCTTATGGATGTGATGGAAAGATTAGGAAATTATGATAAGATAAATAAATGATGGTGCAAGACAAACAAAAATAATAGAGTTGATATGTTGTGTCGTATTTGTAATGAATTTAGAATTTTAAATTAAAATCAAATTAATTTAGTTGTACAGTGGATTACAAGTTCTCGTCTTGTTATTAAAGCTCAGTATTGTACTTTACACAACATTTATTTTACTAAATTCAACATACTTAAAATTGTAAAGACATGATTATAAATTATATATTTCTTATTTGTATTAATATCTACGGGTGGCACCCTCTGATGTTACTAGGCAGCCTTCGTTACACAGAAGCACCTCTAATGTAACTATCTAATGTTGTCTTATAGACAACTGTTTGAATATAATAATTAATAATAAAAAAAGATTTTATTAAAAAAAATTATACTACTAGCATACAGCCCGTCTGATAGTAAACAGGATTACTGTAGCTTATAGATGCCTGTAACAGCATATATATATCATAATTACAACATTCGCTGACTAATCACCAAATTCCAAGAATTGTAATGTCTGCTATGGTGACATTTTGAACTGAAATCTTCATTTACTTTCTTCAAAACATTCACTAGGAAAATCTGGGAATTCACATAAGAATAAGAGTATAATTGTTGGTTTTTAGTAATATTATGTACTTTATTGTGAAACAAATACACGTGTTTTTACTCATTAATCCATTAAGTCAACACATTTTTGTTATTTCACTATATTATCTAATATTTGTATGGAAAATGATTGTTAAATTTTCCATAAAAAAATGATATAATATGTTGTAAACGAGAATATTAAACGTAATCAATTAAATATTAGCAACCAACCAAGGGTCACAACAGATTAAATTAAACTGAATCCATGAATAAAAAATGCAACTTTTTATTGGGTAAAGTTTTTGGTAACTTAAATTGAAACAAGTCATTCATAAATTCCACTTACCAACTTGATGAGATTCAGTGAGCATACATGTCGCAATTTTCAAACCATTGAGTAATTTTTCAAAGTTATCCAACTCATATGTTCTCACAATTTTTGGCTTTACCACATCTGTTTTCAGTGCCATTGTAAAAGATAATTCGCTAAATAATTATGGCAATGAAAGTTAACTAGTAATTATAGCTTTTATATTATATTCCTGACACAATGCACATTAAGAAAACCTAACCCATAATATAAATTTTAATAATTTTGTTTTTAATTCCAACTTCCTTGATCTGCTTGGCTGTACAATTTCAAGGAAATTTGATTCCAACTTCCAACAGAGATTACCAGATGCAATTTTTTATTTTTACCCAATTTTTTTTTTTTTTTTTTTTTTCTTTTTTTGTGGCGTTCACCCCGATATTAGGGTATTTTGCCAAGAACAAAACGGGGAAACGATAATAGTAATAAAAATACCTAACACAAACGAATTTAGAAAGGATAAGGATTAGGTCTAGGATATTTATAGGATATGAAGGATATACTTGTACATATGAGAATATACTTATAAATATATAGGAAAAGCAATTGATGCAACTATAAATGTATTCATGTAATATAACTAAATCTTAATATTGTTATCATATATATATGAAGATAGTATTTTATAGATAATAGGATCATTGGAAGAAAGTAGAGTAAGAATAGAAGTTGGGAATGGAACACAGATGGATCGGAGATGATTAAAAAGGGAGGTGTGGTCAAATTTAGAACATGAGAAGAATATATGATTCAAGTCCGCCACTTCAGCACCGCAATTACACGACGAACTTTGTACAATACCAAGCTTGTATAAATGAGAAGGTGTGCATACGTGACCTAGACGCATACGAGTTATAATAGTTGTTGCGGTCTTTCCAAGCTTTAATTTACAAAACCATGGTTTGAAAGGAATATCGGGTTGTATAAGGCGATAAAATCTTCCTTTTATTGTACTTGTTTTTTCCCAATATTCCTTCCAGGCATACCTTAAATATATTTTTGGGAGACAAGCCAGGTCACTACAGTAATTATGATACGGATACATATCACCACAAGTTACAGCCTCTCTTGCAATAAGGTCAGCTTTGTCATTGCCGCTAATACCACTGTGTCCTGGTAACCAGGCAAAAGAAACGGAATACCCTCTCAACATGCAAAGATAAAGACCTTGTCTTATATCACAAATAATGGGATAAACTGGTTTTGATTTAAACGGATATTTGGCTAGAGCTTGCAAAGAGCTCATAGAGTCAGTGAAAACTATTGCCTTATGTAATTTCATTAAAAGTATATATTCTACAGCTTTTAAAATACCATAACATTCCCCGGTAAAAACTGAAGACTCCGGTGGAAGTTTAATTTTTTGAACGATATTAAATTGTGAATGAAACACACCCACACCAACACAACCGCTATTGTCTGGTTTTGATGCATCAGTAAAGATGTAGTGCCATTCATTCCATTCAATGTCAGTTATAAACATAAATTTGGCATTCAATTCTGAATCATTTTTTGATAACCCAAAATCATATTTAATATTAGGAGATAAAACTAAAGATTGATATGAGCATTTATAAATGGGAAAACAGGACGATGTAAAAGTGGGAGATTCTATGGATTTATATTTTTCATAACTTTGTATTAAACATGGAGGTTTTTTATGTTTCCAATAAGATGAAGACGAAATAAAGATATGTAGTTGAGATAACTTTTGAATAAGCGGATGATCAGATAATTGTAAACAACGAAAAAAGAAGCGATCAGATAGATATTGCCTTCTTAAAACCAAAGGTGGATCACCGACTTCGAGCTGTAAAGCATTGATTGGACTTGATTTCATTGCTCCAGAGATAATCCTCAAGGCCTTTGATTGAATTAAATCCAATTTCTTAAAAGCAAATGAACTTCCTGGAGCTAACAAAAAAGTTCCATAATCAATGACACTCCTTATAAGACCATTATAAGCAAGTTTTAGTGAAACGGGATGTGCTCCCCACCAAACTCCAGCAAGGCACCTAAGAATGTTGAGGTTACGCTCACATTTCGTGGAAATATAATTACAGTGGGACAGACCTGTTAATTTATTATCTAGCACAATACCTAAAAATTTAATTTCAGTCTTTATAGGAATGTATGAGTTATCATAAAGCACCTTAATTTGTTGCGGTGATCTCATTCTTGAAAACAAAACTACACTACTCTTGGTTACAGAAAGATTAAGACCATTTGCATCTAACCACGTTTTTAACAAATCTAATGAATCAGATAATTTGGCAGAAGCAGATTCTATGGACTTCGCAATAAAATATAATAAAAGATCATCAGCATATTGTAAAATTTTGACGGATTTATCAAGGAATAATTCTAGATCGTATGTGTATATGTTAAATAAGATTGGACTAAGAACAGATCCTTGTGGAAGGCCTTTCCATACAGTTCTAGATAATTTGGTATCTTCATCTAAATCCATATGTATTGTTCTTTCTGATAAAATATTAATAATGAAATTAGAAAGCATTACCGGTACATTTAGAGCTTGTAATTTAGTTTTTAAAATAGAAATTATTACATTATCATAGGCAGAATTTATATCTAAAAAGGCTGAGAGGATTGACAAATTTTGTGAGAAAGCTATATGAATATCTGAAATAAGAATGCTCACATTATCTAAGGTGCTCTTACCTTTCCTAAAACCAAACTGGTTCGGGGATAGTAAGTTATTACTTTCTAAAAACCATTCTAGACGGTTTTTCACTAAATGTTCAGCTAGCTTTAGTAAGACAGAGGAAAGTGCAACAGGACGGTATGATGATGGTTCAGAAGGTGGTTTATGAGGCTTTAGAAATGGTATAATAATCTGAGACTTCCATGAAGTAGGTATATTTCCGAAATAATTATGGAATTAATTATATTTAAAAAGTAAATTAATGTCGCATCGCTAGCATTTTTAAAAAAGGAATACGGTATACCGTCTTCTCCCGGTGCAGAGTCTTTAATAGAAGCTAGAACACCTTTAAGTTCTACTAGAGTAAAAGGAGAGTCAAGTTCGAATAATTCGTCAGAGACGGATAGAGAAATATTGTAAAGGCATTCCGGCACATAACTAGGAGCAAGGCGATCTAAAAATTTATTCGCTAAAGTTAAATCGAGTGCAGAACGTGATGTATGATCACTAAAGGCAGATCTGAATCTTTTAATATTATTCCAAACGACTGATGAATTAACTTCTGGACAGATAGAAGAACAAAATCTTCTCCAGCCTTCTAATTTCTTTTTTTTCAGTAGTTTTCGAGTAGAACGTGAAACTGCGGTGTAAATTTCAAAATTTTCTGTTGTCATGTAATTATTATAATTTTTTTCAGCCTCTTTACGATTTTTAATTGCTTCCGTACAATCTTTGTCCCACCAAGGTGGGGAGGGAATTTTCCTGAAGCACTATTTTTAACAGGAAATAATAAATCAGCAACCTCCTTCATATTTATCATCAAGTCATTACAACATTGATGTTCATTTCCATGGTAAACAATAGGTAACTCCGATATTTTATTATCTAAATATTGTTTGTAAATATTCCAGTCTACATTTGATAAATTATATTTAAGCCGAGGACCACTCTTTCGACTTGAGGGAATGGAAATTGGAAAAGAAAGAATGAGGGGAAAGTGATCGCTTCCGAAGGTAGAGGAATGAGGATACCACGACAGTGAAGAAGCTAAATCAGAAGAACATATTGAAATGTCAGGAGCACTAAACCCTTCATTTGGTGCAGTTCTACGTGTTGGTACATCTGAGTTAATAATACATAAGTTGTAAGTGTCAATTATCGTCAGGAGTTTTCCACCATAAAAATTAGAAGTAGAACTGCCCCACGATTGGTGCTGAGCATTAAAATCGCCCATTACGAGAAAAGGTTTAGGTAAAATTGAAAATAATTGTTCTAGTTGTGAATATATTTGGCATGTAGGATCAGGAATATATAAAGTAACAAAACAGATACCATTTATAATTATAGCAGCTGCATTAATGCCGCTATATACAGGAAGCGAAAAAGAAGAAAAAGGAAGGGAGTTTTTGACCAATATGGCAACACCGCCATATCCGTCAGCTCTATCATCACGGAGACTTGTAAAGCCTGAAATCCTAAAAGGATATCCTGGCTTTAACCAAGTCTCTTGAGAGCTATTATAAAAGGATTATATTTATTAATTAAATAAAATAAGTCTGATTTCTTGTTTGTTATGCTACGACAGTTCCACTGAATTATTAGGACTTTGTAATCCATTGTGAGAAGTTAATAATTGAGAAAATACATTGTAAATGGCATCGTTGGACGGTGGTAAAGTTGTTTGTATCATTTTCGATTGCGATAACACTTTAATAAGCATGAGAATAATATCAAAGATGGATTGATTATTGTCAATATTATTTGATGATAATGCACAACCATTAGAGGGAGCAGGAATATTATATTCCTTAACTATGGCTTCATGGGCAGAACGATCATATCCTTGTTGTGCTTTTTGAGGAGAGCGTGGTTTAAGTGTAACTGTTTTTTTATATGATGATTGAATATGTGGTAATGATGATTTCTCTTTAAGGAAAGAAGATTGAAAATGAGATTTATTGGACGGAGATGATGATGTTAATACATCTGAATATAGTTTAGAAGTGGGAGGATGAAATTTTGATGCTTCAGCATAAGAAACACAACTGTGGGCCATTGTTTCTTTAATGGCTTTCTGACGTGCATATTCAGGACATTTCTTACTAATTGCTGAATGATAACCATTACACAAGATACAAGAAACATTTTCCTCATCTACTTCACATTTATCACCTGTATGATTTAGCCTGCATTTATAACATCGAGGATTTGAACGACACTGCATCTTGACATGTCCGAACCTACAGCAGTTATAGCATTGGATAGTGGGGTAAATGTACAAATCTACAGTTAATGATGTGTAAAACATAAATACTCTTTTTGGTAATATTTGTCCATCAAAAGTAATAACAATGGTTTCAGTATTAATAAAACTTGGTTGTCCTTCATTAATGGTCTTTTTCTTAATTCTTCTGGTTTTTAGAATTCTCCCACAACCTATAGGTACTGATATATTTTGGATTACTTCCTCTTCTGTCCAATCTTTAGGAATACCCCTCACAATTCCCATACGGGTTACATGGAAAGAAGGTATAAATGCCTTAAAATTATGTGTTTCTAAGTGACTATTATAAATGCATTTGCATTTTCAAAATTTGAGAAAGAAAGCGATAAACGGTTTCTTCCTATTCTTTTGAGGCTACCATTCACTATATTATTTATCTTATTAGTGTGTAAAAAGCGACCAAATGCAATAGGATGTAATGTAGTGTTATCATTAGGATGTGTTTCATTTTTTTGTACATGAACGACATAAGGAGCTACATCCTCGGCATTGTATAAAGTTCTGCTTAAAGTACTGGGTGGAGAAGCAGGTTTAACAGACTCGGTATTATTTACAACTGGTATTGATACTTGAGTTTGATTCTCATCCTCAATACATTGACAATCACTATCTTTAATTTTAGATTCGAGACCTTTGGTGTGCCTCCTTCGTTTTTTATTGCAATGTTTGCAAATGCGACGTTCGCCACGTACTCGCTTACGTTTAGAACTTGCAACGCTAGAACCATCTGTGTCCATACTAGATTCACCCAATATATCAAAACTATTATTAAATGGGATAGTTATATTTGCAGACACCTGGGGGGTTGTCCCCCCAGGGTCTATAGGTGGATCCATAATGTCTAGTTAATATAGGTAATTTACTTACCAATATTTACAGCAACAAACACTATTACTACAAAATATACAATTATATATACAATCTAATACACAATATATAAATAAGACTAATCCTTATATAATTAAAAATAAAATTAATTTAAAGAAGATCAAAAAACACTCCCGCTTTTTTAAACGTTTCCCGCGCTTTTTCCTACCCAATTTTGACAATGACAAAAAGAACGAGAAAAAAGTATATCACTTTGTAGAATATGGTAAAACAACATTCCATTTCACCATGTACCACAAAGTGATATGCGAAAAAATCCATTTCTACTTCTACCTCAATTTATCCTCTCCTTATTTTATGCCATTCTTTATTTTGTTATTTTCAATCACTGTGTAAAAAATTACGCAAATTTTTCTAAGCGCATTACACTTTTCTCCAAAAAAATAATTTCTTTAAAAATTCACGACACAAAAATGTTAACACAAAATTGCGAAAAAATACTCAATCTGGCAATGCAGCATCCTTCGCTGTCATACTGACTTAGTGTCTTGTCATGCTATCACTGACACTTATAAAAATGACAATCACAAACGTCAACACGTTTTATTACTTCTTTTCCTCAATACCAACCGATCACTATTTTTACGATCATTTTTACCAACGTCAACAAGCTCTTAATTCAAAAATTATTATTTATCCACAAGTAGTATTCAAATCAGATCACAATCATAACAAACAATTGCGCATTGTCCCATTGCATATTTATGTATACACCTATCCCCCGATTTACACGGTACTTGTTTTACACGTTTTCGCTTTTACACGGTTTTCCAAATAAGTTTTTTTTTTGTTTTTGTCGCACTCTACTAAATGCTACTGTGTTTGAACACGTGCGCTGTGTACACATCTCACGGGGAATCCCGAGCTTATGTGCTGACTTGCTGCACATGCACACTGTATCTGTATTTCTTTGCATAAAATTAAAGTTTTATCTACGGAAAATTGTATTTGAGTGAAAGTTTCACAGTGTCAGGAAGATTTAATTTTTCATATTCGTAAATTACAAGTGGGTGCATAATTAAGATTTTTATAAATTAACATAAATTAAAAAAAAATATAGGCTTATAATCAATCAATCAATCAATCAATCATCTTTATTCATATACATCTGTTACAGATACTTATGATACGTCAGTCTATAATTATAATAATTACTATAGAAAATAATATTGATTTAAGAAAAAATGCAATAATTACATTTACAATACAATTCACATTAATACAAAATTCAAATCCATGCAGTTTTGTCATTTAAATAGTCATTTAATTTATAATATGCTTTTGTACAGAGAGTCCTTTTTATATATGTCTTAAATTTTCTTTCATTTAATTGTAAAACGTCATCTGGAAGTTTATTATAAAAACGTATACAGTTCCCCATGAAAGATGTACTGACTTTTCTAAGGCGATAACAAGGAACATTCAATTTGTTTTTATTTCTTGTATTGAAATTATGTATGTCACTGTTATTTTTAAAAAGATTTATATTTTTACGTACATACATAATGTTTTCGTAATGTCGAAAGAAGTTAAAAGAAAAGTAATTTCTTTAGAAACTAAAATCGAAGTTTTGGATCGCTTACGAAAGGGAGATAGAGTAGTAGATGTTGCAAAATCATATCAGCTACAATAAGAACTATTACAATAAAAATATTGAAAAAAATCACCTACAATAAAAATATTGAAAAAAATCACAACTGTTAAATAGCAAAATTATGCATTTTCTGCAAGCTTTTCGATTTACACGGTTTTAACTTGAAAATTTTTATTTTCGATTTACACGTTTTTCTCAGGAACGTATCTACCGTGTAAATCGGGGGATAGGTGTACTTAAACTACAGCTCTTCAATTTAAACTTCTCGTTCCCGCCATTTTTTTCATCCACTTTTATTCATAGGGGTACCTTTTTATGGGTGAAAATGGCATAGTAATCCCGCCTGTGCTATCGGTATACATTGGCAGTGTACCAGTGATAGGTGATAGGTGAGGATGAAAAGGCAGGTCAGTTAGCCCATCGTGACGAATTCAACGATAAATTAGTCACGATAGTTTTCAGGGCGAACCGCGTGGAGGCCGACCTGATAGGGTATATTGATATCAATGGGGGCTAACCTCCTCATTACTAACAATCCCTTCCCCCCAATGTACAGGTACCACAAAGCAAATAATCACTACGTTATTGTAGGCACTGTAGGAAGGGATTATTGGCAATAGGGTCCAGCTGCCCCATTGCTAGCAATACGCCCTATTAGGTTGACCTCCATGCGGTTCCCCTTGGAAACTATCCTGGTTAATTCTTGTGTAATTCATCACCCGAGGTTACCATTTCATTTTCTTTCATTAAAAATAGGTACCGTATTGGATGCTATAATTGTAATTTAAGTTGTGACCATAAGTCGTAAGAGTAAAATCGATATTTCCGAAGGTACAGCTAAAAGTAATTCATTGTTAAGAACTCTGTAGTCGGTTTAAAATTAAAAGTATTTTATTAATCTCATATAATTTTAAATAAAAGTAGACTACCACCTAATTATGTATTATAACTAGCAGCTATAGTCATGAACATTTACATGAACATTAGAAAATATACTTTGATGCTCATAGTTACACTTAAGCATTCCTATTTCTGATGATTATAAGATGTATGCAGTAAGTTTCGAAATACAATTTAGCATTCATAGTTGTTTACTAGCTTGTTTGAGCCAATTATATCGAGTATTCCCATATTTTTTAATAATTCCGTAGATCTAAAATAATTAACTGACACGCGAAGCATCGCTCAACATCTTTCGGACATCTTTATACTATTGGTCACCCATCCCGACAGGAAATGTTAGAAATAAAGTCTAGTAACCCCATTGCTAGTAATTTACTCTGTCATGTCAACCTCCACACAGTCGCTCTTGAAACCGTCATGGTTAATTTCTAGTATATTCGTCACAATGGGCTAACTAACCTGACTTCATCCTCACTCCTACTGTCACTCACTGGTGCATCACCAGTGTATACTGATGACATTAGCCTACCTAGTTACCTTAAATTTTCAGATACTTACTCAGAACTCCAGTAATATGCCTAGGTACTTGGTTATTATTAATTTTCTTTAAAGTAATTAATACTACTGATATGCAATAATGATATACGGCAATAAATGAACAATGAAACTGTTATTGATATCATGTTTATGTTTTTATACACTTTCTGCTGCACCAAAAAACTTGGTAAAATATGAATTTTGCGCGAATTTAAATTGCGAAGATGATGGCAAAGAAAATACTTGTGGAATCAGAACAGATGGAGAAGGTTTTCAACTGAGATTATTTGAAAGCGTTTGCGAACTATTAAAGTACGGGTGTCAAGTAGACGATGAAAAAGGTAAGATGGCATTAAAATGTGTACTTTGAGTAGTCGATGATAATATTATATGAAATGTTATTATTCTAAATTAAAATCTCATACACAGTTCTGCTCCACTGGTGTGTTAATTTTTAAGATAAAATCTTAAAACCAATACAAATTATATTAACACATTCAATTAAAATATCTCATTTTAGCTTACGGTTTGATAAATATCGATTACTGCGACCATACGTTCAAATATACTGATTCTAAAGACTATAAACTTATCAACAAAAATGTAATAAACGAAATCGAAAAAAAATCTGATACAGCAGATTCGTGTGCAAAATATGATTGCACTAAACTAGTTGTTAATTCTATTTATGTATGTGGTATTAGACAAGTCGACAATGGATTTAAAGTTAGACTGTTCAGAAACAAATGTGCAATGCAGAAATATAATTGCGAGAAAAAGCTCCAGTTTGTAGTCACCGACTCTTATATTTGTAATGGACTCAATATTACAAATGATACAGTATCTATGGTACCGACATCTGGTGAAGAAGATAAAAATAGCGTGAAAGACAATTTGAAACAAGATAATCTTTTTATAATAGACGGTTCGTTATTTAATTACAATAATGATATAAATAATACTATTGATAATTTCTTCGCTGCAACTCACGTTTTTGATCTACCAGTAAAAGAGGTTCCATCTAATGATTTAAACGCAAATACTAGGAGACTTATACTAAATAGATTCGGACCACAAAAGGTATTTAAACCTTGGATCACCATACCAAAGAACATAAGTGAAGATCATTATCATAGACCGACATTATCTTCATGCTATCATAAATGTCCAAAGGTAAGTGAGCTTCTCTAAATTTCAGCAGGTGGGTTGTGGCCACCTATGAATTGTTCAGTGCCCACCTCAGGATCCGAGTAGAATTTTTAATAATGCGCATAGTATAATGTGAATTAATAAATTGAGTTTTATGTAAGTACCTACTAAAGAGGTAGGTAGGTAATAGTTAAATAGGTATATCGAAATATATCCTTCATTGTTTCATTGCAATAAAAAATAAATAAATAATTAAAATAGTGGCCCCCTGGAAAATTATCTTAAATACGCCAATAGCGATACGCCTCTAAGAAACAAGGCTATCCTTATTATCTATTTTAAATTATCTACGAAGATTAGATATACTTGATGAAAAATAAAATATCTAACCGAAAAAAACATCGGAATTTTCCTATACATTCCAGAAATGTCCAGAGACATATGCCCCTGTGTGCGGAGTGCCCGGCATCGTGGCGAGGGAACCTTCCCTCATGTTCCAGAACCACTGTTTTATGGACATAGCCCAATGCAAAATGTACTGGGAAGACAAAAGCGACACCGCGCTAAGCTCCTGTATGTATGTTACATAAATATACCCACTTTTTGATTTTTTTTAAAGCATGGTAATGGAACGGATACCCCGCCTGTGCTAACGGTATACGCTGGTGGGCCACCAGTGAGGGATGATAGGAGAGATTGAAAAAGCAAGTCAGTTAGCCTATCATGATGAATATACCTAGAATTCAGCACGATGGTTTCCAGGGGGGACCACATGGAGTTCGATCTGTCAGGATAAGGCACTGATAGTCAATATTATTACCAATCTCTTACAACCAAATATACCCACTTATACGAGTAGTATACATCAAACAAACAACTGGCATTCCGTTCGCGTTTAGTAAAGGTTAAAACGGGCGTTGAAATTTTAAATTCAAGCTCAAAGTTCAAAACATAATCGAATAATACACGTGAGCGAAATCGCGGGCAAAAACTAGTATTAGTATAAAATACTTCTTTACATCGTGTGTGTACCGGTATAGAACAGGCCACCCCTTCTTTTCCCGTGGGTGTTGTAAGAGGTGATTAAGGGAACTTATGGTCGAGGGATGGGCAGCAGCGTCCCTCTTAAAACATCGAAACAACCGCAGTCAGGCTTTTAAAGATTTAAAACTGCGGTTGCCAACCCGCCTGCCAGGGGGGAAAGGGATTGTTAGTAATGGAGATTGAGAATCCCATTACTGGCAATATACCAAACCAGGTCGACCTCCTCGCGGTTCCCCCTGGAAACTATCATGGTTAATTCCTGATAAATTCATCAAATTCATCATGATACGCTATCACCCTTCACTGGTGCTCCGCCAGCGTATCCCGTTAGCGCAGGCAGGGTTACCATATTATTTTCATCCATAAAAAAAAACCCGCCTGCCAAGCGTGGCAAATACTGACAATTCTAACTCGTCTTATGGGGAAAGTTTATGTTCAGCAATGGACAGATAATGGCTGAAATAAAAATAAAAAAAACTTCTTTACAGCTTACATCGAATCATCGTTTCTGTTTTGCCTCGGCGATGAAATGAACGGACTCTATAGATTTCTGCCTCTCGTGAGGACGCTGCAGCACATGGGCCGGTTGAAAAAGAAAGCCCACTTCCGATACAAGCTCAGCAATTTGAGGTTCTTCAACAATCTTCTCTCTAGAGAGCCTAAGCTTATGGGATAAGGGAATTAAATGTTGATAAAATAAATATTTCCATAATTATTAGTAAATTGGTAAAGTAAATTACTTCATATTTTTTAAACCCAATACGCAAATTTGATTGTATTTAGTTCAATTAAGAATTTAAATTTTGGACGTACAATAGAATTTAAAAACGTTTCTTTACAGTTACATGAAGTTATGTATATTCAATACTTGCTAATTTACTGATTATCATATTTACTGATATTATTCACAACTCCGGTTATATTGTATGTATATTTCTATAACTAATCATGGTTTTAAAATATTTGTAGCCTAGTATCATCTAATTCTTTAAACTTATTTCATTTCATACTGTATAATTATGTTAAAGTGGGGGGGAAGGGATTGTTAGTAATGGAGCCTGAGAATACCATTGCTAGCAATATACCCAACCAGGTCGACCTCCTCACGGTTCCTCCTGGAAACTATCATAGTTAATTCCTGATGAATTCATCATGATGGGCTAACTCGCTTGTTTTCATTCTCATCTATCACCCTTCACTGGTGCTCCGCTAGCGTATCCCGTTAGCGTAGGCGGGATTACCATACCATTTTCACCCATCGAAAAAAAAATGTTAAAGTAAATGCTGTAAATACTTTTAACAGGCATGTATTGTACTTATTTAATGTTTGTTATATATGTTTTAATGCAATATACTATTGGTGTTCCTATGAATAAATAAAAAGTATTTTGCTCCCTCATTATACAAGGTCCCGGCATAGAAAAGGCCACCCATTCCATTCTCGTGGATGTTGTAAGAGGCGACTAAAGACTATTACTAACAATCCCTCTCCTCCTGATGTAAATTAGTAGAGGTCACCTATAGACATGAACTCACCATAGGCGTCACGGAATACACTGCTACATACACACTATATAGGCGAATGCACCTCTTATGTGATTCTTGAGGACTATGGTGTTATGCCTTCATACCCTATAATTCCACTGTCATATCCCACCTTTCAGACCGAAACAAAACCATGCAAACATAATTGCTTCAAATTATAAACACAATGGGGCAGAGGTACCAATGAAGACGGCTTTTGTACCTTCTTTATTTGATTGTCATGGTAGTATAAAATTGTCACCATCTGTGACAAAGTGCACAATTATATGTACAACAACAAAACATTACATAACATAAAAATAGGACATTTCGTTGACAAATAAAAGATAACAAATACAAGAATAAAAAATTTATTGAATAACATTTATGTAACAAATGTAAAAAATATTATCTGTTATGTAATTATGATAAAATGCAATAACAATTTATCTTTATGTATAATCCCCAGTAGAAGTACCTTCTAATTTCAAACAGTACCGTTTATCTGATACAATATATGCACAATAAAAGTTAATCCCGTACTTAAGGGATTTTCACATGACCAAATTAGACTAGATGGCGCTGAAATCAAGATTTGTTAATTATTTTGCCTCTAATGTACGACAGAAAAAACTAGTAATTTGATAGCAACAAAGGATGCTGGTGCCACCGTTATATATCGGTAAACATAAAATATCTCAAGTTATGTAGATTTGTGTATCTACGTTGATATAGATACCAAATAACTTGAAAATTTTTTTATATCATGTTACATGTACAGAAATAATTTTACATTAAATTAATATTTTCCTTTTGACAATATAGCGAATTCTTTAACACTAATTTTATTATAAAATTAAGTCGGAATTAATACAATAAAAATTCACGGTGATCCGTAACACATTAGTCTTATTTTGCCTTTTTTATGGGGAAATTCGGTAAATATTAACAGAGCGTTTATAACTCAGAAACAATGTATCCGTGCCATCTGTAATAAGCGACCTATGACACCTTGTACGCCACTATTTAAGCAACTGAAAGTACTCACGGTTCCATCAATATACATATTGGAGTGTTGCCTCTTTGTGAAAAAAACATTCTTATTTATTTGCAAAAAAAGATGACTTCTATAAATTCACTATTAGACATCCTGGAAGGCTTAAGCTACCAAACATAAAAACACGTCTATATCATAGTAACAGTTACTCATCGTGTATAAGAATTTACAATAAATTACCAAATTCACTTACTGATCTGTATTTAAAAAGTTTAAAGTCATTTTATGTAAATGGTTAATTACAAAATGTTTTTATACACTGAAAGATTATTTTGCAAGTAAAATGGACGACATTATATAATTGAATCTAGAATGTAGAATATTGTATGCAACACATATTTGTAAATGTATGACGGACGTAACCTGCTGAAAAATAATGACATGCATGTAAAATTTTACAATAATAATTTGAACTTCAATGTGGCTTTAGTAATATGACTTCTAATTAATAGTTGATTATTAATAATACATATAAAATGTCGCATGCCAAGCTGGCTGAATGTCATGGTTACACAAAATGTATAATGTTACATAAACTTACCACATTCATCGCAATAAATTTCATTTCATTTCATTTCATTTCTTGGTGAAGTTCCTTCCAAATCAAAATTTAAATTTTAGGAACACTTTTAGAGATATAGCATCTCAAAATAGAACACTCTATTTTATTTTGATCAAATTGTTTGATGCCAAATGTACTTAGTTAAATAAAAAAGCAGCGTCGTTGTATAGCTGCGGTGTCGTGTGAAAGAGCCATTATGCGAGTAGATTTTAAGACCCTAACGGTCAAACTATATCTACTTAGCAGTTTACTTAATTGTAAAACTTTATCCCAAAGCTTATACTACCTACATAATACACGATTGATTCCCCTATATTTATACAAGTTACATACAAAATGTATGGAATGTACTTGCAGAAACGTTGAAACGGACTAGAGTTTGGAAGCCAATTTCGCTTGTTTAGCGATGACTTTGTTAACAATAACATGAGCCTCATCGTAGTACGGGTTGAAATGGTTGCGTACTTTCTGATACCATTCGTTAATTACGGGAAATTTTTCTCTAGGGTCATAGCCGGCCATTCCTGTAACAAAGTTATTTATTAGTAGCTTTGAAATATTTTACAATTTATGATATTTAATTTTATTGTAATCTTAACTGGATTGACTAATTTTTGTAGTCTAGTTTCGGGACTACACAGGAGCTAGTATACTCTGTATGTCCATAGTACTGTTCATGTCAGGCGATGATGGCTATTTTCGGTGGGCCGCTAACTTGTTTGCCATTGTAAGTTGCATAATGAAAAAACTCATGAGTTGTTGTTATGGTTTAATATGCCACATGGTAAATTCAATACGGATACATAAAGAATACGCATAGACGTATGTATTTAAAGGGATTTAGATCATGTCCATCGTGAATCGTCTGGTGTCCATACCAAAAAACAAGCGAAGCTTTCAGCTATGTTCACCTAAATATAAGAATAATAAATAATATTAAATACGCCAAAGGGTAATACGGTTTATATTTACGGTAAAAAAAAATATTTATTTAAATAACTTTATTGACCAAAGAAACTATGGTACGAGAAACGGACTTAATGCTAGTAGCATTCTCTACAAGTCAGTCAAAATTGTAGAATTATGTCTCATAAAAACAATGTACTGAATAAAAATAGGTTTTGACATCATGAGATAAAACATAACCCGTTTTTAATTACATATAATGTTTACGAGAGTATGTTACCTACCAACTTAGAATAAAATAGGTAAATAAATTTATCTTACGCGCGTATCACATGTACCGTGGAACGGACTTCAACCAAAAGTCTAGCTGCTGGGGACCCACCTCACACTCATAAGGTAATCGTTCCAAAATCAAAAATCATAATTGGAATATTTATGATCATATTTTCAGCAAGGCCTGGCCACTTAAAAAAATATGGCTGGTACGGAAACCAGACATTTCTGGTATGGGCACAGTCTCTTTAAATACACCAAATAGAGGGAAAAAGGATTATTAGTATTGGGGTCTAACAGGTCAATTGTTAGCAATATCCCAATACCCTATCAGGTCCACCTCCACGCGGTTTGCCATGGAAACTACCGTGATTAATTCTTATGGAATTCGTCACGATGGACTAATTGATCTGCTTTTATCCTCACCTATCATCTTTCATTGGTGGCCCGCCAGCGTATATATATATATATATAGGCAGGGTAACATCATCACATCACAATCATCATCTCCTGGTAGGAAAGGATTATTAGTAATGGTATATATATATATATATATATATATATATATATATATATATATATATATATATATATATATATATATATATAGTTTTTGAACCCCCGTCATTTTCTACGGGTTTTGATTCTCCAGGTGCCATGAACAAACTACAAATTGGATAAACAGTATTTAATATAAATGTCTCAACATATATATTAATTTTAATTTCAACCAACAAACTTCGAAAAAAAAAGAAAGAAAAATCAGCCTTTTTTTCAGTCAAATTGAATAGACAAAAAATAAGTGAATACAAATTAACTAGAATATAGGTAACGAAAAAATACAATACTTTAAGTCATTAATGATTCTCAACTAGATTAAAGGAACAAAAGTTGAACAAAGTTGAACAAAAAGAGGAACAAAAGTTGAACAAAAAGAGGAACAAAAAGAGGAACAAAACCCACATAAAAAAGTTTGATCTCAGAAAAACGAAACACTGTTGAGGTATGAACATTTTATGTATAAAAAACAAATGAACGAACGCATATCAAGATGCTAGTCGTCAAATCGCACTTGGCACTGTAGGCAAACATGAATGTTTTTTTCATGTTTCTTACATATGGCCCTTTGGCACTTAGCACATGAAAACTTGGTTTTCTTATCTTGATTGCGAGGACAATAGAAGCACCTTCTTTGTTTTTGTGGCTGTTCAGGTAGCATTGAGGAGGGTTCTTCTTCTTCTTCAAGGTCCAATACAAGTCTAATATCTCTTCGAAGTGCTTTAGGCAGTCTTGAGTTATACATTCTCTCCTGCATATGAAGTTTGGCTAGGGAAAGAGCCAATGTTTTCAAGAAATCTGCTCAAGTACATTTATTTCCTTTTAGTTTAAACAGCACATAGCTGTTTATTCCAGCAGCATCAAGGACACCATGAAAATACCTCATTGGCCACCTTCTTGACGTTCGTTTAGTAGAGTAAGAATGACAGAGATGGTCAAAAACATCAACACCCCCTTTTGACAAATTATAGAACTCTACTATTTCTGGTTTTTTAGATGCGACATTTATTTCACCATCATCATCATCATATTTTTGATGAAATAATGTACCCATTCACATTCACTGTTAAATAAATAGCGCTGATCCGAAAGGAGTGCCGAGTATTATATACGTATTACGTACGTTGAGTTGTAAAACAGGCGCGGACCAAGTCTGGACGTTATCAAATCTGACATGGGCGATATCGAAATTGATGATTTTAATTTAAGAACCTAACACACCGGGTACATTGAACCCGGCGTGAAGAACATCAAACTCGGTGTCGACGTCATCGAATTAAATGGGTGTAATGACCTTTTTTTAGGAACCCTACATATAGATATCAGAGCTAGTAGATTCGATGTGAATGATGTTAAACCTGAAGTGCGTAACATCCAAATGAGTAAAGACTTCTTATTTATAAACCCGATATTAGGAATCATCGTTAGGCGACTTGAAACCAGGTGTGGTCGTCATCTAAATGAATAATGATTTGGGGTGGAGGGGCGAAGATTCAGGTGTAATAAACACGGCCTTGCTTGTTCATATGATAAAACTATAAACTTACTTGGTTGTTCCAACTCGCAAATCGCTATCAAATCTGCCACAGTTACAGCGTCGCCTGTGACGAAATCGCTGCCGCGGCCTAACCATTTAGTACTGAAGTTAGTTAACGCTTGTTCCATACGTTGTTCGAAACCTGATATTCTTTGTGGAGATGGTTTTGTGCCAAACATGACGGGTTCTAGGTACTGGAGAAATAAAAAAATAGTAACTTCTTGAGAAAATGGTAATACCTAGGATGATAGATTCAGCATATTCCAAAAAGTTAAAAGACTAATAATACAATAAACTATGTTGTTTAGATTAGCAGTGTAAAAGGCAAACTTAACAATATAATTTTATCTATCAGTTAACCACAGACAAGACTACATATATCAATTCGAAAGCCCAACTATCAACACGCAAAAACTTATTTTATATACACACACCTAAGACTTGATCTTAGGTATTTATTATACAAGTATTTATTGAAAAGCGAATGTTTTAACTTATTTATTATTTTTTACCCTTTTTTTACTACCGACTTGTTGTTACTGACATACATTGATTGACCTAGATAAATATCCCAAATAGTATATGTATACCTACAAAAATTTCATGAGCTGTAAGTAGCTCAGAGATAACAAACAAACCCATCTCCTCATTTAGTAAAATCTTATACATAAAAGAGTTACATATTGTTAGTTAATAATAAAAAATATATATACTTACTTTGGTCCTAAAATAGAAAGCACAAGGCAATCTTAGCTCCATATGTTGCCACTCCAAAAACTCTTCGACGCGAGCTTGTCTTTTAGATTCTCTTGGATATAAATTCTCTGGTATAATACCTTCTCGAGAGAGATATTTGAGTATAGCAACACTAAAACAAAATAATCACACAATACTTGAAAAATATAGTCACCCATTTATATAAAATATTATAATTTGAATGTAGTTCAGTATGCATTTTTATAACCTCACGCTTATTCCTTTTATGGTAGGCAAAGCTGCTCCTATCTTTAAATGATAATTAAATATTACATCTAATTTCATAATGAATAAATGGATGGCCCACTTGATAGAAAATGGTAACTGTCACCTATAGATAGTCATTAACAAACCTTGGACATAACAGTGTATTGTATGATGTTCTATTATGTTTTCCTTCCTGATAATTTTTTTTTAATGGATGACAATAAAATTGTAATCCCGTTTACGCTACCGGTATACGTTGAAGTACCAGCGAGAGATGATAGGTGAGGATATCCTTACCATCCTCACCTATCAGCAGGTTGATTGGGCCATCATGACAAATTCAACAAGAATTTACCATGTTGGTTTCCAGAGGAAACCATGTGAAAGTCAATTAATGGAAAGTCAAATAAAGCTACTAGTGTCTTATACTAACAATTCCTTTTCCCATGATTAAGATGTTATGCATCTGTATCCAGTAATTTCACAATAATATCCTACCTTTTAAAATAAAACAGCAATGCAAGGACAACTGTTTGGTGTAAGGACATCAAAGCTTAATTTTAATTAAGTATCTAATTATATATATATATATATATATATATATATATATATATATATATATATATATATATATATATATATATATACATATATATATATATATATATATATATATATATATATATATATATATATATATATATATATATATATATATATATATATATATATATATATATATATATATATATATATATATATATATATATATATATATATATATATATATATACATATATATATATATATATATTTATTTGTTTCTCTATGCAAATTCAAAACAGGATTTGCCTTTTTTTTTTACTTTATTATTATTTTGATAATCATCTTTTTTATATTACTAAAGAGGGATGAGAAACAAACTGATAGCACATGGGGTGAAAAATGCTAACTATTAGTTAAAGACAAGCCCAACACCATGAGTTTTACAGAATATATACTCTTCTCCTTATATCCCCACTTGTGAGAACTAAAATGATTTTCTCTTGTGTTGTACATAATTTATTTACCTTTCTGTTAAAACAAATCCATTGTGATCAATGACTGGCACTCTTTGGAATCTATTAATTTTAGCATATTCTTCTGTATAATGTTCAGCTGAAATAAAGTAACAAAATTAAGATTTAAATATAACCATAGATAAATAAACTTAATATTTTATCTATGAATATGTATTAAATAACACCAATCTATTGGAGTACCATACATCTATTTTAGTGGCTAAAATATAATGGATTATAAATGTATTAAAATTTATAAGTACATAAAAAAGTAAATAAAAGAGATGTGGCAGTGAATGGTCTGCTTCTACATTACATTGAAAATGTGCTTGATGAAATATTGGCATATCCAATATTACATTTATCACAATGGTGACAAATGCCAAATCTCTTTAATTATTTTATCTAGTACAAGCATGTATTTTTTTATTACATAGAACAGGTAAAATAGTGTGTGATTTTAAAGATTTCATGAATATTTGCTAATAACTATGTTAATGCTGGATAGGACAAGTATTATAGACATTTATAAGGGCTAGCCAGGTGAGCTGTGCCCACCACAGTATGCAAGTAAAGCTTCACAAAAATATATCTAAGAGTACACTTATGCCCATTTTAAGGGGCTGAACCCTCCTGGAAATTAATCTTAAATACACTAAATGCACAGAGAAGAGAAAAGTATATATAATCAATGAGAACACAGGAACAAAGAAGGAATCCTTGTCCATATTGACCTGAAGAAAAATAATATAGCTATTAAATATAAATTATTTTGGAATATTATTTAGAGCAGACTTGTTAAGGCATAATATAATATACAGTGCATACTTACATTGCATAATTACAGACACAATATTTGTTAATTATGATAAAAATCATACCTATTTCTATATAAATTAACATTAATATACATTTAAGAAATAAAATTTGTTTTTGATAATTTTTTTATGCAAATAAAAATGACAAACAAGTTGATAGACAACCCGATAGAAAGTTCTAACCGTCGCACAGGTATAAAAATATACGGCACTACATCTTAGAATATACTGTGATACCTAATAGGGCCACCACCCTTATACAGTGCCATTTCTGAGGACCAATTAAAACAGCTCAAAAAAAAAACATAAATACCTTTGCGAAGATCCACATATTTTGACTCGAAATCACATTTTATAAATTTAAAAAGAATATAAAGACACCGAGAAGGTTGCGACATAAGGTCATAATATAATTTTATCGGCATTATTATTTGTTTACGTATAAAAACAAATATCGCAAAAAGCTTATTAAACAATAAAAATTTAGATGTATATAAGATAATAAATATTAAGTTTAAAACTTTAAGTTTATAAGATTTTAACCACGAAGTTTGAACTTTGAGTTATTTATCACAAACTAAATAGGTGTTATAGAGATATTAGAATTAAGAATGTCACAAACGACACACACTCGTAGGTATAGTATAGACCGTACAGACACAAACATCAAGTATAAAGTCTCTATTTATTCTTATCAATACATTATTATTTTGTTTGTGTTCTATTCCAAAATTTCCATCAATTGAAACTTTTCTTTTTGACATCACTCATCATTTCATTCATTTATTCATTTAGTGTTATTTGACAATTAATTCATTCATTTTAAACAAAGAGTTACGAAAGCCAGAGATAGTGGACTTGGCATATTCAAGCATATATAATACATGTTTAAGATACATGTTAGTCAGTGTTCTTAGAGCATTCATACATTACTACCTGTAAGGCAAATAAAGCGACGTAATCTTTGTTTTACAAGTAATAATTTATGCTTAGAATTTGTGGCAATAATAGTAATGCTTGCTATCTAAACAGCTTTTAGCTTTAGATTTTCTTAATGGCAATTTAAAGAGACGCCGAATGAGACATAATTGACTGAGTGAGATTGACGTTTGAATGGCGTGAAAGAAAAACAATTCTCGGTTTTTACGGTACTGCTTCAAATTAATTAAAGAATTACAAATTATTTGGGCAAAAATTATGGCATCTTTAGATTTACTGACGCCTCACTTAGGAAAAATTAAAATACCAGGACCAAATCAACTTATCTACAAAGACGAATGTGTTTATTCCTTTGATAACCCGGTGAGTTGCAGATTTCGTCATAACCTATATTATGGTCGTGTTATACGAATAATGTAAAAAATGAAATAAATATAACTTAAATGCTTTTAGGATATTAGCATAATACTTTTATGCAAATTTGATAATCTTAATAATTTATAAAATCTTGTAAAAGACAGGTATTGAATATTAGTTATTTATTTGTTTTAAATTATTATAATATAAACATATTAAATTGGCATTACAGCATTATTATCTTTAAAATATTTTGTGTTCATAAAATTCTTTATAGCTTGATAAATATTTGCAATAATATTGAACATAGATGTCATCACACCATTTGTAGTGTAAGAACAAAGTATCAACGATAGAAATGTGTCCAACATGACTGGAGTCCAAAATAGTATGTTGTATAACAGTTCTCTGCTTACATATATCTTAACATTGTCCCTTTTCACATCCATTACATGTATTTTTGTCAATATCACTGTAGATATGGTTATTGGAACAAAGAAACTTAAAATAGCAAGCACAAACATATATGTTAGCAAATTTTTGTTGTCTACATAACAAATTTTCATGCACTTTTCATGTGACTTTGGTGTACGGAATAATGTTCCACTTGTTACATTAACATTGCTGAAATTGTCATTTGTAATGTTTGAAATTATCTTGTAAATGTTCTGTACTATACTTTGTAATTCAGTCCTGTTATCATTATTCAGGTAGTCTTCATATACATGTAAATAATTACTTGGTTTCACATATTTTCGAAGCTCTAAAGGAAAGTTTGTCTCGTTGTTTGGTAAATCAGAACATGTATAATTGCTATAATTAATAAGAGCCATACATGATTCCCTGCCATTACGTAATTCACTTATTGGTAGTCCCATTTCTTTCACACTCATTGTGTACATAGCCAATGTGAACAAGACGGGAACAATCCACTGTAAAGCTATTATTATGTAAGAAAAATACTTTTTCCAAAATGTGAACAACCCTTTGAGATTAAATCTTCTCTCTGTTATAGATTCTTCAGCAATATCTTCTACAACATTTTCATTGTCCTTGATCTTTATCTCTTGTAGCATTCTGTAGTGCATGTAGTTGTCTATAATCAAACTTAGGAAACTGTTCACCAAAGACACTATCAATGGTCCATATGTCATCAATAGTGATGAGAATCCACAATAGATATCTGCATGTTCTTTATTTGAATTTAGAAAGTCATGTGCCCTTTCCTCCATTTCATATGTGTGAGCATTCACCATATTCAACTCATGCAATGCCCTAAACATGAATGCTACTCCCACACACATTAACAAAACATTTTCAGATAGTAATATTGAAGAAAACTTTGTATTATTCATCACAACTCTTTTTAAATTGAATAGACTTAAAGCAAATCCACACAAAATAAGAAATGCACCCAGAAATAAATCAACAGTATTTAACATCTTGTGCTTCCTCTGACAGCTGGGTGCAAATTGTAACTGTAGTTAGCCCCTATGATTTTGCGCGCCGTCTCATAGCATGATAGGCAGGTCTTATCTATCTGTCTGTATGCAAATTATGGGGGTTCTATAGCTGTTTTTAAATTTTGTTTGAAGTTTTCTTTAACATACTTTAGTTATATTGTTCTAATTGATTATTTTATAGTAATCTCTCTTTGATTTTTTTTTACTTTAAGGACTTTTTTCTTCCTTATATATATTAGCGCTATTACCCTTTATTGATTTCTCACATAATATTTTACCTACTTCACCTATCTATGGATATGAAGTGTGACTTTATTTTGTTTCATTCCATTCTATCCCTTAAAGGGATTTCTTCCAGTCAACTTTGAGAATCCACAAGGAAAAAGTATCTATTCACTGTAATGTATTTATCTAATATTGAAAGCATCAATTTTAATATTAGATAAATAATCTTTATTGTCCCCCCGACCCCCCTTCCAAAAGATTATTGCAACTGTAACTGTACTTAGGTCAAAGGTTTCAAGTTGAAAGGCTAGGTGAAATAAAAATATGTTGACATTTAAACATTACTTCATGTCCCTTAATAATTACCCTCATTAGGTCAAATTATGTAATGTTTGAATGTAAAATCATACATTTATTTTTTGTATCTTTAGCTCTATGTATATGATAATGATAATATTTATTTCAGGAATCAGAGACAGGACTATATGTCTCACTGGTGACTTTCCTTGGCTTTGGTCGTAATTATGTTGAGCAGTACTTCCAGAAGACAGACAATGCTGTTTTTCTTCACATATACACTGAGAAAAAACCTGTAAGTGAAAATAAAGTATATTTAAAAAAAAAATCTTATTATTGAAGGTGAATGGCAGATTTTTGAAGTCTCAAATACTATTTAATTTTTTTATTTTCTGTTATTAGGCTAAAGAGTAAAATTTAAAATACTGATTAAATTTATAACAAATAGTTTGGTGAACAATATTGGTATGTCTAGACATACCAAGATCAATTTGTGTTAATTGATCTTGTAATTTTTTTTTTTTCTAAAATTGTTTTTTGACCTATTTAATTTTAAATGGACAATTTCAAATAAAAGATACTCTATATTAAGATTGTATCTTAAGTATAATAAGATTAAAAATCAAATTATATAAGAATCTAGATTATAATGTTACCATTCTAGGTGCCAGAACCAGAAAAAACTGGTGATGGTCCAGAAAAGAAGATTACCCGGCTCGCCATCGGTGTGGAAGGTGGCTTTGATCCAGACAGTGGGAAGGCCAAATACACATACACCAACCATTACAGTGTAGTGGCACTGCCCGGATTCCACACTTACCCTTGGCCAAACCCAGATTTGCCAGAAGTGGTAAGTGAAGAATTATTATTTATATCAAAAACATGCATTTTATTATTGAGCATAAATTTTAACCATTATACCAGGATATAAGGGTTTGTTAGTAACAGGTTCTTACAGCCCCATTGCTAGTAATATACCCTATCAGATCCAAGCTTATACCCCTGGAAACCATCATGGTTGTTTCTTGTTGAATTCTCAATGACCTGCCTTCATTCTCACCTGTCATCTATTACTGGAGCCCCGCCAGCGTATACTGATAGCGCAGGCGCGGTTGTCATTCCATTTTCACCCATTAAAAATACAAAAATCATTGTCACTCAGAGCAAAGAGAATGATCGGCTAACAGGCATGCAGCATTTTCAATGTATTATGTGCAATTTTAACCTCAATGAACCCTTATAGGTACCGCCCGCCACACTTATGGAGAGGAGGGGATTGCTTCTAACAAAAAAAAAGCTATAAATTAATATTTGACTCTTCATCTCAAACTTAAATTTGGGAATATGTACCAACAAATAGTTACTACAACCCATGGGCACCTGCAACACTTGACAAATTACCAATTCACCAACACTCATCACCTGAAGATTTTGAGTCATCGTTATCATTCACTATTGAATATAATTCTCTCTTATATGTCCTCATCTCCACTGAACATGATTTTAAGCTAAATCCATTAATTTCTTGCATCATTTGAATCAATATTAGTTTTACTGCCATATATCTTATCTGAACTTGCCATAAAAATAACTGCTTGGCAACAAAAGTAAATTAAATTATAGTAATATTATAAACTATTGATTAGTCAATAGAATAATTATGAAGTTTCACTTAAATATAATATCCATTTTTAAAACCTAAATAAAAAATTGGCAATATATTTACTCTATAGTTCTATTAAGTATAAACCATTAGATAAATTTTTATATTTACCTTATTATAAAATATCGTAATAAACGAAATCATCTATTTTTAGGTGAGAAAATCAGTTCAAGCCATCATTGATGCAGAATCACCATTTAAAATGGCTGAAATGGCCGCATTAGAAGGCACTTGGGACGGAGAGACCAGAGAGGTGTCTGTGTAAGTCAATAATTTCTTTTTAATAAAAAATCATCTTTAAACCAAATATCTTGCTCCCCATAGACAAATCACAAACAAATCTATTGATAGACACGTTATCGCTACCGCATGCATAAGATAGAACGAGACAAAGTTCGGAGTCTTTTTCTTTATCATATGTACACTAACAAAATTTTAATTTAATTATTATCCTGTGTATTCCTTTTAGACACGCAGTTAACCTTAAACAGTTGGACAACGGCGTAAAAGTGCCGCCTTCTGGTTGGAAATGTAACAAGTGCGATCTAACCAACAACCTCTGGCTGAACCTAACTGATGGCTCCATACTGTGTGGCAGACGATTCTTCGATGGCACCGGGGGAAATGACCACGCCGTATGTTCTTGGTATCTTTTTTTTATGTCATTAAGACACTGAATATAGGTACCGTCAGCTTTATGGTAAGCAATTACAATGTCCTATGGATATCAACAATATTGACGCCAATTCTAAGGTGCCATTACCCTAACCCAATATCTTAAATATATATTGTAATTTTTTATTAAATTATGGCTCATCATAAACTCTAATTACAATAATTTTTACTTAAATCTATTAGAAAATGAATTTATATTGATGCTTACAATAAAAAATATTTTTTATAATCTTTATAATACAGCCTAGAATTTATAATCAGTAAATTTTAGATCGCGCTGTAATGTACATTAGATACATTAGATTTTGCCTGTATTTGCCGCGTTGGGCAGGCGACTAACCGCAGTTAGCCTAACTTCGAGATATTTGAAGAGGGATGGGCAGTAGGCTCATCAATCGCCCTCCCTTAGCCCCCTCTTACGACACCTATGGGAGAGGAAGGAGTGGCCTTTTCTCCGGGACTACACGACCATAGTTAATTGTAATTAATAATAAATAGAGAACTGTTCACAATAAAATAATAAAGATTTCCCTATAAACTAAAAGGAAATTGAAATTTTAATTTTAGGAATAGATTTAATTAAATGGCGCTTCAGGATTGACGCCATTATGTGGGTCATATACGTGTTGTTGACTTGGTTTATTATTTTTATTAATGTTTCTGATCTGGAAAATTTGATACGGGAATTACCAGGAGATTTCGCCCTAAAGATTCTTTCTATGGATTCCTTAGTATTATAATAGTTGACCCCGCAAACGTTTTGTCTCTATCGCCACCTACAAGGTTATTTTTTTCTTATTGCAATAAAACTATTATACATTGAGGAATATTTATATTCTAAAATATGGTCGAAGAAAATTATGTACATTTGCAAAATAAAAAAAAAAATAGTATCAATGAACATCGTGAACTGGGGTGTTTATATATTAAGATTTCTTCATAGGTGGAACATTACCGCGAGACCGGGTACCCATTGGCAGTCAAGCTGGGCACAATAACGGCGGACGGGAAAGGCGACGTGTACTCTTACGCTGAAGACGATATGGTCGAGGACCCTTACCTCGCTGATCACTTGAAGCACTTTGGTATCAATGTTCAGCAGTTGCAGAAGGTATGTATATTATTATCATCATAGCATCATCAGCCATTAACTGTCCACTGCTAAACACAGGCCTCCCCCTATTGGGGGAGTTTGCCAGTAGTTGCCACGCTTGGCAGGCGAAATGACAACCGCAGGTTTTGATGATATTTTAAGATAGACGATACTGTCAATCTATCGCCATTAAGTTCCCATAGATGTCTCTTACGACACCCACAGTAATGAGAGCTATGGCCCATTCTATTCCAGCAAGGAGAATGCAGTTAAGTAAATGTTAGAAATATATGCAATACTGCACTCATAGGAAACTTATAGCCAATAAATATTTCTGTAATTACCACTACGAGTATACTCATATTTAAGTTAGTACACCTTATATATTTTTATGGTCATGAAATAAATCTGTACTATGGATATGCATGTTGATTTTTTATATATAACTTAGAATGGCTAAACAAGCATATTTTCCCTTTCTATTGATGGAAATATCTCTAACCGTGTGCCTATAGACATGAGCCTCCTACCATGGACATAACAGAGTATACTGTTTCGCCCATGATACCCCCCATGCGTTGTTATTCCTGAGGACTCAGGTGTTATTCCTCTGTACCCTGTAAATTCACGCCATATCCCACCCTACAAACCAAAACACAACCATGCAAATACAACTGCTTCATGGTTGAAACACGAATGGGGCAGAGGTACCCAAGCAATCGACTTTTGTACAGTCTCTCTCTGGTCATGTTGATAAGTACATGACCCCATAAGGGCTTATGTATTTATAGACTGGCTTTACAACTGTTATCTCTTATCATTACAGACTGACAAGTCGATGGTGGAGCTAGAGTTAGAGCTGAACCAGCGCACTGGCGAATGGAACACCCTCCAGGAGTCGGGCAGCGAGCTGCGGCCGCTGCACGGGCCCGGCCTCACCGGCCTCAACAATCTGGGCAACTCCTGCTACATTAACAGTGTCGTACAGGTATAATAATTTTTATTTCATATTAGTTTTCTGCCTAAAGAGGGTTGACCAGCCAAGCTTCCAGATAAGACAAATCTTTTTGTAATATGGATAAAAAACATATTACACCGACCCCAAATTTTATAGTATATCGTAGTATATCCATTGCAGAATGGGTTACAGTTCTATTTTTGATTCAATGCAAAAATACATAAAAGTACATTTTGTTATAACCTAATATATATATATATTAAAAGTGAATGTACAGAAACAAATAAATAATATATTCTACTATCCTGTTTAAGAAGAATTTGATCTCTTTATTGTTGTAATCATAATTTCACCTTTTATATTGTCGTAGGTTATTTTCCGCATGCCTGATTTTGTGCGAAGATTCGTCGAGGGAGCACCGGAAATATTTGCTACTTTCCCAGAAGATCCAGTCAATGACTTCAACGTTCAAACGTGAGTATGAGTCTCTGAATGTTCTATGAATGTGCATTCGGTTTCTGACACGAAACACCTCGTTCCACTGTGTTTCTTACGTCTTGTTACAACCCTTACTTACTTCTTGCTTCTCTTCTACATTGTAATCAAGAGAATTGTATGAGATTTCGATGCTTTGAGACTAGGATCTTTTGAATCCATTTTATTTTAAAGTACTGTGACATACATTTTTGAAATACCTATAATTTTTGTGAAAGTGTATTTAAACTTATTTCTATAAAAAAATATAATACACAAAGTATCCCTGGATTCGAATTTTAAATTTTAGATCCTCAGATGTGTGACTTCATATTGTGAATTATATTTTGAGACTAAGGTTATGGTGTGCAGTGCTAAATTAGGCGTGGGCCTGCTGTCGGGGCGGTACTCGCGTAGCGCGGACGCAGACGGCTCGCAGGAGGGCCTGGCGCCGCACATGTTCCGCCAGCTGCTCGGCCGCGGACACGCCGAGTTCCGCACCAAGCGCCAGCAGGACGCGCACGAGTTCTACTTATACATGCTCACGCTGCTCGAGGTAATCATCACTAGAAATTGTTTCATAGCGATAAGCCTGCACCGCACGAACCCACTCATACATAAGACATTGTCACGCAGCGCCACAGCCGACACCGCGCGAACCCGTCCGACTGCCTGAAGTTCTCGGTGGAGGAGCGCGTGCGATGCGGCGCGTCGGGCGGCGTGCGCTACCAGCAGCGTGCCGAGCACCACCTGCCGCTGCCGGTGCCGCTGGCCGCCGCCACCAACGCGGCGCTGCTGCGCGACCGCCGTCCGTGAGTACTGTCTGCCCACTGCACTGCATACTGTCATATGTAGTACCCGGTGCACCGTATTCAGCTCGAAGGACCATATGGTGTTTTTGATAGATCTGGTGATTATATATAATAATATTTATTTAATCAGACAACATAAGGCCCTTTTGTTAGTTATAAATTGACTTAACCAGAGGGAGACTTCGTACTAAAGTCGATTGCTTGGGTACCTCTGTCCCATTCGTGTTTCAAACGTGTAGCAGTTGTGTTTGCATGGCTGTGTTTCGGTTTGAAGGGTGGGATATGGCGTGAATTTACAGGGTACAGTGGAATAACACCTGAGTCCTCAGGAATAGCAATGCATGAGGGGTATCATGGACGAAACAGTGTATTCTGTTATGTCCATGGTACTGCTCATGTCTATAGGCGACGGTTACCACTTTCCATCAGGTGGGCCGTCAGCTTGTTTGCCATTCTAAGTTGTATATAAAAAAAAATGTAAGTAAATGAGCGGTCATGACGCTCTTGCACTGATAACCTGTCCCACCCAACATTTTAAGATGAATATTTATAGAAAGAATATATTACTGAGTACACTCAATCTTTAATTTGGATTAACAGTGCGATGGGTTGTTGCTTCACTAACAAATCTAAAATAAAATTTTTATTAGTTACTGTCTAGGTGGCGCTGTATCATCTGTAAGAAAAAATGTCTAAATTTCCATTTGTCCCAACAGTGACTCGACACAAATCATCCGACCCGAAATACCGTTCCAGGCATGTCTTGACAGCTTCATGAAAGAGGAAACTGTTGAACAGTTCTACAGTAGTGCAGTCAACGAGAAGGTCACCGCGTACAAGTAAGCTGTCACTCCATGTTCATAATTCAATGTACCATCGTCCTTATATATACCTTATATGTAGGTTTTTATGATACCTATAAAATATAAACAATCAACTTGATTGTATATAATATATATACAATCAAGTTGACGGCCTATCTGATAGAAAGTAAAACAGTTGGAGACCTTGGGGCGAGCTCTTCTGCCCCAAATTCATCATTGGAGATCCTCGGGACTCTCCCTTTATTATCTACCTTGGCTGGCTTCATGTTTGTTAGGTTTTCTATAGGGAACTAGTTTTTTTTATGGGTGAAAATGGAATGGTATCCTCGCCCACGCTATCAATACACACTGGTGAAACATCAGTGAGAGTTGATAGATGAGGATGAATGCAAGTCAGTTGGAATTAACTAAGATGGTTTCTAGTGGAAACCGCATGGAGGTCGACCTGATACCGTATATTGTTAGTAATAGGTATTTTAGACCCTTTTACTAACAATCCCTTTCCCCCATAAGGAACTAGGTGGGTCCTCCCTCTTCTGAATGGTCATTATTTTTATTTTTGATAGATACAAATATTAAACGAGCTCTTTTAAACTTAATGAAATATGACATTTGTGTATAACAAAAGCAATCTAGAAACTCTTGTCACCAGAGGGAGCCAACTCAGAAAAAGGGGGGGAAAGGGATTGTTAGCAATGAGGTCTAATAGCCTCATTACTAGCAATATACCCTCTCGTCGACCTCCTCGCGGTTCCCCTTGGAAACCATCATGGTTTATTCTTGTCGAAATCATCATGGTGGGCCAAATGACCTCCATTCATTCTCACCTATCATATTTCACTGGTGCCCCGCCGGTGTATACCGATAGCGCGGACGGGGTGACCATTCCACATTCAGCCATTAAAAAAAACCCAGGAAAAAAATAAATAGATCAAACTATCAACTATAATTACGTTTCGTTTCTAGAATAACCCGTTTGGCGACGTTCCCGGATTACCTTCTAATTCAATTAAAGAAGTTCACAATCAAAGAGGACTGGACTCCCGCGAAACTCGACGTTTCTGTCGACATGCCCTGGGAGGTAAGAAGTTTGTAATTCGAATAAGAGAAAAAGAAATCTGTAATATGTTTTGTGTTGTGAATGCTTTGAGTAAAATATTTATTTTACATTAAAAATAAATTAAACAAGTAGTTAGACTAGACTGTTTCAATAAAACTAAATGAAATATTCTCTATAGAGAATTCTTCTTCCCATTCGTGTTTCAACCGTGAAGCAGTTGTGTTTGCATGGCTATGTTTCTGTGTTTAAAGGATGGGATATACGTGACATTTACTGGGTACAGAGGAATAACACCTGAGTCCTCAGGGATGGAAAAATTTGAGTGGGGGTATCATGGGCGAAACATTTAATTTTTCATCTGTTATGTCCATGGTACTGATTTTTATATCTATAAAAAAAATATATACTTTCCATCAGGTGGGCCGTAAAATTGTTTGGATCCATTCTAAGTTGTATAAAAAATCATATAACATGAATTAATAACAAATCAGAACATTGAATCAATCAATTGGTTTTTATTGTTTTTATTACTAATGAACATTAGCAGACTACCTTATGGTCAGATCAATTATTTATTTGTTTACATTTTCATCAAATTGCTTTGAAACAGATTTTAGTGGTCTGGATTTTTATAACAAAACTTCTATCTACTTAATCTAAGTGGAAATATTGTACATATAATTATAAGAAATTGTATTGTATTGTAAAATCTTTATTGTACATAACTCAGATTAAACATTGGTAAATGATTTTGGACTTTGTAAATAAATTTGTACATATAGTACAACTAGTGAAGAATTTTTAAAATCAGTTGAGTAGTTTTTGAATTTATCTATTACAAATGTACAAACATAATTAAATTTCTCCTCATTACAAATAGGAAAAAATTGATTGTTTTTATTGTATTAATATAGATATAATGTGGTTAAAATAAACTAATAGTCCTTATTGTAGTGAGCGAGACAGACGTATGGCTTGCTCTCGTTCGCGCCGAATCTATAAAAATAGCAGAAAGCTCGCTTCGCGCATCTCTTAGATTAAAATGTCGTATCCGGTTAGCAAAAGACAGCGAAAGGTCGTTCTGTAAGTCCTTCCACGGACTTGGAGCGTCGTCTGCACTCGCCCCGTTATCTCCGGTGATACTGTAAACGCAGTCTGTGGCCAATAGCATTAAAGAGTAGTTCGGAAAAAAATATCACGTGCGGTCAGTCGACGCACGGTTTTTTTTTTAATGGGTGATAATAGAGTGGTAGCCCCACTCGCGCTATCGGTATACACCGGCAGGGCACCAGTGAAGGATGATAGGTGAGAATGAAGTAGGTCAGTTAGCCCATCGTGACGTATTCAACAAGAATTGTTCACGATGGTTTCCAGGGGAAATCACGTGGAGGTCGACCTAATAGGGCATATTGCTAGCAATGGGACTGTCAAACTCCATTGCTAACAATTCCTTTCCCCCAGTCGACGCACATTTACGCTTGGATATTTAATGCGACGTTATAATACTATGATTCTTCGAGCGTGCAATTAGTTGAGGAAATATGGAACCTTGATAATCTTGGTCGCAGGTAGACCTGAGCTGCCTGCGGTCGCGCGGGCCGCAGCCGGGCGAAACTCAGCTGCCCGATTCGGCGCCGGCCTCCGCCCCCGCGCCTCTCTACAACGACTCGCTGCTCTCAGACCTGGTCAGTACTAACATACAACACACTCTTACATTATATGTATAGATAGTCATACAAATGCTTCGAGAAAAGTGGGTCAACTTTTTCATATAATTTTGCGTGATAAATAGTCATGAGTGATTCCTTTATAACTTCTATATTTATTTTGTTTTATAATTTTTAATTTTTTTTTTTATTGCGTAAGAACTAATTTTATTTATTAAATAATTAAATATAGATAGGTCGAGATACATTATGTGCGTAAGTATATAGAATAATTATAGAGAAACTAATCAGCTATTGGCAAATTAGCTGACTTCCATCAGGTGGGCTGGCAGCTTGTTTGCCATTCTAAGTTGTATAAAAAAAAACAGCATAGTTTAAAAAAAGCATTAAAGCATAGTTTAAATTAGCAAACTATCCATAATTTTATTATATGTACTAGACAAGTGATAAACTTCAATATGTATTGTATTGGTATCGTGTTAACATTTATTGTATTAGTTGTTATGTGTAGATATAATTATGTATAAATGACATAATGTACTATAATCTAGACTTTTAATATGTAAGGTCAGGGGGGAAAGGGATTGTTAGTAATGGTGACTGAGAATCCCATTGCTAGCAATATACCCAACCAGGTCGACCTCCTCGCGGTTCCCCCTGGAAACTATCATGGTTAATTCCTTATGAATTCACCATGATGGGCTAACTGGCATGTTTTCATTCTCATCTATCACCCTTCATTGGTGCTCCGCTAGCGTATCATGTTAGCGCAGGCGGAGTCACCATACCATTTTCACTCATCAAAAAAAAATGTAAGGTCAATTTAAATAATGTAATTGAATTATAATTTTGTTTACCGGTTTTTTTTATATATATAATGTAAAATATTTGCATGCCTACATCTTTTAAGGCAATTAAACAGGTGCCAAAATAATACCACGTGGCTTGTAATAATTTTAAACTGTTTGATGCTAATAAACTCATTTCATTTCATTTCATTAACATATAACAAAAATATTACATTATATACTACTTTTTACCAAGATGTCTGTATAAAATTATCAGCGATGGCGCCACCTTTTGTGAAGCACAATATTTTAAGATTGTTCTCTTTTTATTAGTTTTCAGTGTGCAATAAAGTATTATTATTATTTTTAGTTGGAAATGGGATTCCCAGTTGAAGCGTGCAAGAAGGCACTCTATTATACAAACAACTCTGGTATGGAAGCCGCCTCGAATTGGTTGATGGAGCACATGAACGACTGGGACTTCGCCAATAAATTCGAACCGCCAGAAACGCAGACTGCCGGTATGATTAAACTATTTTTTATTTTTATTTTAATGCAACATCTACCGGTTTAACTTACGTGAAATCAGATCGAAAAAGTTCGAATAGTTTCGAGATCAATTCGTGACTTTTAGTTATGGGGGACTGTGACGTGAACGCGAGTCTGCCAGCGCTCTTCAACCCGAAAAATTATAATTGTTTGTATTAAAATATCTTCATTATTATGGACAGTCTGGACATCTGTTTTTAGCTATATGTGGCTGTTTCTCTTTGTTGAGAGCGGCCTTGGGGCGAACCTTTTTTCCCTGGTTTTTTGGGGTTAACTACCCCAGGTTGCTGGAACAAGGTCTAAAGAAGGCGGCAAAGAAACATAATTTTTAATGGATATAAATGAAATGGTAAACCCACCTGCGCTGATGGTATACGCAAGCGGGCACCAGTGGGAGATGATAGGTGAGAATGAAGACAGGTCAGTTAGTCCACCCTGATGAATACACCTGGAATTCAGCACGAGATGGTTTCCAGGGGGCACCATGTGGAGGTCGACCTGACAGGGTGGGTATATTGCTAGCAATGGGACTGGTAACCTAGACCTAGAAACATTCAACGCTAAAGGAGGCCACCCCCATATGAGTAATTCGGTTGTTAGCAGGTGGGTGCAGCTCGCTGCCGCTGGACGAGGCGAGCGTGGAGCAGATCATGGGCATGGGGTTCGAGCGTGCGCAGGCGCAGCGCGCGCTGGCGGCGGCGGGGGGCGACGTGGGCCGCGCCGTCGACTGGATCTTCAGCCACGCCGCCGAGCTGGACGCGCCCGCCGCCGCGCCGCCCGACCGCCGCCTCGGCTGCCGCGACGGACCCGAGAGTCAGTTGGAATTCTTCTTTTTTACTAGCTCTGCTAAGTTTGGACTGTATAATATGTCTGATGCTAAAATTCTTTTTTTTTTTTTTACTAAAATTAAAATCCTTTTGTTACTCTATGTTAAACTTGAATTTGTGGTATTTTCGCGCTTGAATTATTACGTATTCCATTCAAGTTCGAAAAACCTTAATAACCGGTTCTAGAACATGGAGTTCTATTATTGTTAAAAACAATGTGTTGTTACTAATAAAAACTTAAACTCTTTATTCTTCTCTCCTCTTCCTCTCCATCCAAAGGTTGCCTGAAAGGGATCACTTGTGGCGATAAAACCACCTGTGATCATTTCTTGTAATTGTTTGTATTTATAACAAGTTTTCTATTGTAATCTTTTGGAGGAAACAATAAAAATTATCAATTTCTCTGTAATTAAGTTTATATAAAAATATCTTTATTTTATTAATAAATTTCAGAATATAAGCTGATCGCGTTCATATCCCACATGGGCACGTCGACAATGGTCGGCCATTATGTGTGCCACATACTGCACGAGGGCCGCTGGGTCATATTCAACGACAATAAGGTACAATAACATTATTGTTTATTATATCTATCCTATAGCTCACCACTCCCTTTCCGTGGGTGTCATAAAAGGCGACTAAGGGATGACAAGGGATGGGCAACAGCGTCCCTCTTTAAACATCTCTAAAAGACTAACTGTGGTTGCTAACTCAAGCATGGCTTGTGTCCAGCAGTGGATAGATAATGGCTGAAATAATAATAATATCTATGCTTACTAATATTATAAATGTAAAAGTGAGTTTGTTTGTTTGTTACCTTATAGCACCTTAACGGCTTAATTGATCACTATGAAATTTGGTACATGCATACTATATGGGATGATAGATATAAGTTACTTTTTATCCCATTTAGTAAATGTATCCCATGTATGTATTCACATTTAAAAGCTAGTGTTATGCATAATATTACATATATTATGTAGCAAACATTTTAAGAAGATTTTCCTAACTGAAATTATGATAATTTTCATTCGTGGAGGAGGACAGCCCAAAATAGGAATATGTGGGAGGGAAGGCCTACATTAAAAAGGCGACTTCTAGGATTAAAAACTTAAATAAACACAAAGATTCATGTAATATTGATTATGTTGGAGTAGAATAAATAGCTATTTTATTTTATAATTTTCATTTTGTACATAATTTGCAGAAAACAAATAGATAGACGATTTTACCGTAACATTTATAGAAGTATCATTATTAAGAGTCTAATATCAGTAAATTTTAATTTCTATCATTACAGGTAGCTCTCTCGGAAAACCCACCCAAAGATCTTGGCTATTTGTATTTATATGAAAGGCTGTGATGGCAACAATATTTAAATAAAGGAAGATAATGAATTTGTATGTACCAAAAATGGCTGGCTAGATCGCAACGTTTACAGGATTTAAAATAATAAAAAGCGATATAATGTGTGAAGCAGTTATAAGTGATTTTGAATGACTACTTTTAGGTGGTATTTATTTTATATATATAATGTTGTGTTTCGAAACTGCAATTAGGTTAATTACAAAATTGTATTATCTAATTAAAGTAGTTGTATTTCATAAAATGCATTTTTGTTTGCAATTTATTTTTACAAGTATTAAATATGAAAAAGTGCAATTTGTTTTTGTTGGTCACAATATTTTTTTTTTTTTTCTTTGCATGAATGTACGATTTTTAAGTATACTTTAAATACTTTCGCTTCCCTAATATTGTTAAGATCTGAGATTTTGTATTCAAAATAATTTGACAGTGATATATATGGTATACCAGTAGATGAACATTCGCTGTTTTGTACTTGATATTGTTAATGGCCTTATAAGGCCCAGCCTTGGTATTTTGATGTAACTACATTTTGGAACTTTTCAGTATGTGAAATAAAAAATAACAACGAAAATTTAAATAAATTATTACTAAAATGCTCTCTTATTTATTGTTTGTTTTTTACTAATTCACTGTTTACCGCAGCTTCATCTACATAATCTAATTTTTCTTGTTTGTCTTAAGAGTTAAAATATCAAAAAAGGCTAAAACATTGTTTTAAGACAATACAAAACCTGACTTTTCGCACTTGAAAATGAGATAATCCCACAAACATACATAACAGCCCCATTGCTAGCAATAGGTTTAACAAGATGACCTCCATGCAGTTTCCCCTGGGGAATGTTCAAGTATTAGACAACTCAATTTTTGACACGCCATATTCCACAGCTTACAAGGTATCTTGAAGCAAAATTATCAAATTGCTGCAAATTATTAGCAATTTGGGTGCCAAACAACCTGAGCGTGTGTGGATGAAATGGTAGTCAGAGATTTAAAGTTAATATGGTAAATTGTAGAACTTCTGGTAGGTAGTAAGGATGGTCAAATTTCAAGTGTTTGCAGTCACACATACACTAATGATAGTAGAATTAAACAAAATAATTCTATTGAAATAACCAGTGATATGGTCTTCTGCATAATAACGCAATATAAATTTTATAGTTCCGGCTTGGTGAGTCTGGATATATCTTTATTCTTTAAATATATATGTTATTACTATATACATACACAAGTTATAGTGTACATAAACTACATATTTATTGGTTGATATTTTTTTAATTCTTTAGAAATTCATAATAAAAGAATTTTGGCTAATCAACTAGACATACAAAAATGAAATATATTTTGAAATCAGCAGGCAATTTCAACTTTTAGAATCTTAATTAGTCGATCAGTTATTTTTCCATTGCAAAAACCATTATGACATAAGTAATATTAATAAGGTATATTTGACTTTTATTTTAAAACATTTTAAAAATGTAATTTAAATATATAGATAGAAATATTTTTTTAGATAATATGAACTGAAAACTAGTCTGACAGTCTATCTGAATCAAAGTAATAACCATCAAATGAAAGGCTTAGTCCAGAAAAGAATGCAATTTACATTCATACAAGTGCTAACCATCAGTAGTGGCCTTAGGGGGTGGCAAACAAGGCAATCGCCCGGAGCCTCGTGTAACAAATTTTAAATAACCAGTAAGTGGCATTTTGTCTAGTGCTAAGTGGCAAAAACTTTCCGAATTAGGCATTTTAATCGTAGGGAAATTGCTAATAATTTGATATATATATTTTAAAACTGAAATTTTATTTATTTGTATAAGTCTAACATTTCTCATCAAACATGACAAATACCTAAATCAAATAATCAGACCTATTTTTGCATCAGATACTTTTCATAAAGGACAAAGAGCCTCATAAAGAGCTACCGCCCAGAGTCTTGCAATGCTAACCATTACCTATGGAATGTTATTAATATTACTAATGGATGGTATTCCTCCTGCATTTCCATTCCTAAGGAGTCCAAAATAAGTTGATATTGAAACAAAATAGAAATATTGTTAATAATATTTAATTCCATTATTATATCTCTAAAATTATACTAGATTCTCAAGAAAATTATCGTCTGAACTTCTCCCATGGTTTTGGTATCCTCTTCATGAATATTGTACTTTCATCAAAGTATGTGTTGAACTTTTTATGCTGGTATCTCTTTTTTGGATCTTTTGCACAATTCTTTGGAGTAAGATTGATCATGAGACCTGTAATAAACACTTATTGACTTATATTTTATCTAATGATATCCTAAAAGCTCAATGAGTTGATTAATACAGTAAATGATATAGAGGAGCAATAGACTTCTTTTATCTTGGCTATTTGGATGAAAATATAGTATGCTAGTTAAGTATGAAAACAATTGTGAGATTCTCAATCAATCAACAACCAATCCTAATGCAAATTTATCAATACTCTATTTTTCTCCAAACCTGAAATGGTTGATAGAAATAAAAGAACAGAAGATTGATATAGTTACCTGCTTTTTGAGCCATTGTAACCATCTTGCCTATTTTTTTCTGCTGGCGCCGACAGAGACCAGTGATGCGTCGCGGTAGCATACAACCATCAGATCTTACGAACTGGCTCAGTATCAACACATCTGTATGTTTTACTTCTAGCCCAAGGGCACACATGTAGCACGGTGGTTGCTCCGATTTTACTAAAGGTTCAGGCACTGGAACCAAGTTCTCGGCTCGCACCAAATAATCTTTACGAGGAGATGGCACTGGCACGCCTTCCACTACTAAAGTCGAACCGACAGTTTGTTCTCGTACTGAAATAAAAATGATATTTAGTATTTCAATGTTGATAAATTCGACAAACAGTGAGGTGAAACAGGTTATGAAAACGAAAATTAAATTTAACCCACTTTCTTTTACATGAAGTTGTTTGGTGGTAACAATAGCACGAACCGATGTAGAGAAAATTGATCTCTTTAAAAGGGAAAAACTACTTTTAACCAGTCCAGACATAATGTATATAAATCTTAATTATTTTTTCCATCCAAAAAGTTTCGTCTGAAAATATTGTAAAATGACAGTAAATTTTGACGTTTCAAGTTAAGTATTGCCAGAACATTAGAAAATTTATCCTACTAAAATTGCGTTTTGTTTCTACAAAATATTTTAAACTTATTAGAACCAATATGTTACTAGTTTATTATTATATTGTCTATGGTCTGGTCTGTATAAAATAGAGGCTGAAAAAGCTTAGCACCTAACGTAATTTATTGGCTCGAAAATATGACCGCGAAATTTAAAATATTTGAATTGTAATTATTTATAATAAGATGAACTGTTGTATTATACCATATATGTTATTGCTACTCATAGAAAAATGTACACCATAAATAATAAACTATAATAAATGTACTTGTATAGGAAGTTTGTAACCTAAATATGCAGAAATTATCTGGGATTTTAAAAATTTTGTATATATTATAAAAGTCTTATCTTAGTACTTTGTGATCTATATATGTGTATATATATAATTATGAATAATTGATAAATAATAAAAGCTATTTTCACTTCATTTAAATGAGCTATTTATTAGAATATAAATAAAACTTATTAGTTATGAACAATACGATGGATGAAATTATGTGTGTCGTCCATCCATGACTGCTTTATGCGTTGCCACTCCTTAATTCTGAAGTGTAATACCTCTTGCAACAAACACGTGTAGTTCGTTATCGGCACAATGCCCCACTTCGAGCCTCGCGCTATACTATTATTTGTGTTTGCCTGTTTGTATTTATCTGGAGGGTCTTCTATATATTTACTGTATAAATGTGACAAAGGTGAGGAAAGGAGTTTACACAAATATAATAAGACACATCGCGACTGTTGCGTATAGTTCTGGAATTATTCTCGGATGGTTTATTTTCAACTGGGATAATTTCTAAGCCTGTTTAAATAAGAAAACACAATTGAAATAGGTTGTAATACATTTAATAAAGATATAACACATAGACGATAGGTACAGTACATTTATTTAAATCACTACGAACATAAAAAGAAGTAGTTTCCGTAGATTAAATATAGTTTGAACCACATTAAAAAAAAAACATTAAAATATCAGAATTTTGTAGCTTAATTACTCATAAACATCTATATAGAACAAGCACAATTTGATAACATCAATATATCTGCAAAATAAATATATCTACCAATAAATAATTTCTATTCGATTTTATATTGCAAAAATATAGATAATCTGCTAAGCAGCTTGTGTACTATATATAAATATAAACTGTTTTAAGTGGTATCACATTTTCGCTCATAAATATGCCTATATATTACATTTGATTAGGAACAGAGACAATATTGAACTTTGTACGAATAAGATTTATAAAAAGGCCATATGTGGACGGTATAAGCTAAGCTTTTGAGTAAATAAGTACTTTTTACTCAAGTACAAGGTGCAAATTGAACATTTACAAATAAAAGCATTTACGTTTTATATTCGGAAATGCATTAAAATGCAAAAATAAACACAAAATAATCTTACATTATATCTACAATACGTTTATATGACAAAATATATTCTACAGACTAAAAATAGAATTTAGAAAATTTGTGACTTCATACCTCTTTGAAATGAATATTGGACACAACATTTTAGGTAAAATCAATATTGAATTTATCTTTGTTCTGAATAACTCTTGTTAAATAAATATTCTTAATGCAATAAATAAACATACAAAATGTAGGCCGTGAATGAAACTGAACAAACGTACGTGTATATAATATAGTACTTAAAACGATGCATTAGAAAATATTTACATATTGTGAAAATTAACAGTATGATTATAAGATTAGTGGCTCAAAATTAATAAAGACAAAATATTGAAACACTTATGTCTAAACATTTAATTATAAGCTGAAACTGATTATCTGCATCTGTAGTCATGCTGTTAGCTTCCACAATAGAAGTAGTTCAATGTGGGGACGATAGTCTACTTGGGGAAAGCGGACAGCCCTTTGCTGAGGAGTCCCGCTGCGTTTTCGGCGCCATCGTGCGCTGCAGACGAGAAGTTTGATACCAACTGAAAAATAGAAATTGTTATTTTAGACATAACGGTTGTTGTAATGAGTGAACATAATTATTTAACTCGGGTTATTTTAATATTCTATGATATCTATTGTACTGTTCATATTTCATATGTCATGGCTAACATTTTCTATCAGATGGGCCGTCAGCCCGTTTGCCATCTAAGTAACACAGAAAAAAAACATGAAAAAATTTACCTACTAATTATTATTATTATTTTATTATGCAGCAAAAGTTAAATACATTTCGTTTAATATATTCGTATTTAGTATGACGACCTTTGTCCGTTGTAGCGGACATATTACTTTGTTTAAATGAGGTCCCGAATTCGATTCTTGGTTGGATTAATTTTGGAAACGAACTTTTTTTAATTATCTCGTATCTGGATGTTCTCCCAGAGGTTCATTGCCTGGTTCTTCATAACACAAGGTACAGTAGTTTGGGAACCAGGCAACTGGTGTGATTGTGTAAAAAAAAAAGAAAAAATTACAGTGTCTCGCTTCTCGCTGAGGTATTTATCAGTGTCCCTGATCTTAGAGTCCACTACATTGCTGGCGTTCTTGAGTCCCTCGTCGGCGGCATTTTCGACTCTCTTAAAGGTGTTATCAATCGTGCTGTGGACAGCATTGCTGGCGTCCGCTGCCGCCTTCTCCGCTGCTTTCTTGGACTCTTCCACCGCTGCATCTGTGAATAATATTATAAGCGTAAGAACGGATAAATGGAGAGAACGTAAGAACAGAGCAGAGAATAATATTCTTAGGAGCCCAATAGTTACTAAAGGGAGATGTTGTGGTATGTCATCTGTGACTGTTAGCTCTGTATTATCTAGTCATTTTCTCATATAACTGGCTGTGCTTCAGTTTGAAATGATAGTGATTTTGCGGAATACTTTGAAAGATCGACCTCAAGAATTTTTAAGTTATAAGAAAAGGCAACAGTTGATTATCAGCTCTTACATTACAAATATTTCATATTAATTAATTTTTATTAATATTTGCATAAAAAAGACTAAATAAAACATTGCAAATCGACCATGTAAAGACCCCATATGTTCTCATTTCGAGGTCATTGAAAAAAATACTAATAAATACTATAAGTGAAATTGATTATGGCATATATTGTGTCCCTATCAATTTCATACAATACTTACTGGCCACTCTCTTGGCTTCTTCCCGGGCAGCCTCGGCAGCAGCCCTGGCCTTCTCTTTCGCATCTTCTGCCGCCTTCTTCGTCGTGTCTACTGTTGTGTTGATCGTATCTAGAAAACGAATGCATTGCTTAGTATACTTACATAAATTATATACTTTTATTACGCACAACATTCAGCTCGGATCGCTAGATTTCTAGATCCAACGTTGTTAGAGCTATGCCGTAATTTTCAAAGGTTAATAAATTGTAAGTCAGACGTGTACTGTGTTCTCAGCTGTTTTCCACTTGTCGACAAATGCTACAGACAATGGAAAACGTGGGTTGTGATGAAGCGCCTCTTTAACATTTTTATTAAGTTTTAAAATACAACATTGCATTTATTTGGAAGCGTTTTTACCTTACACTATCCCGAATACGAAGTCCCATTACCGTTCAATTTTAAATTTCAATAAACTTCGTACTATGAATAGTATAGTGTTGCGAACCCCTTATAAGTATATCTTAGCTTTCTTACAAATTGTCTTATATTTATCAGTATCATAGTTCTCAAAGTCAATATAAAAGTGAGTTTATTTCTTAATTTGTTTATTACCTATCGGGTTTTTTTTAATAATTGTAATAAATTTTGGCTCATTTACATCTATTTGAAAAAGAAAAGGACATTAATTTTTTTATTTGAGTAAAACAAGAAAAGTTATTTGGAATTTGATTAATGTAGATTCATTATTTAAATTCCAAATATATGAATATTGTAAAGACAAAATTAGGTAGCCAGCATTATTTGAAGAGAGAGGCAAGTGCGTATAAGACTCATACTTGGGAGTTCCGTATAATTGTGTAGCGTAATACTATATTATACATACTTGATAATGTTTTCTATTTTTATTTTATTTACAGATACATTTTAAATAAATGAGAGATACCTTATTGAACTAATTAGGTACACCTATAAGGGGTTGAGAGTTATAGGTAAAAAAATCACATATTGTAGCTTCAATCCTTGTCGATTTTAAGATTTCTCCATGTCAACTCCTTTATATGGTATCTAGTTTCAACAATGAATAATATATATTGACATAAATAGGTCATTGACTAATATTGTTCTATTAGGTCGTTGACCGTATATGTTTAGGTATAAGTTAATTGATAAAAATATGGTTAGGTATACATGAGTTGTTCTCGAGAGAATACAATGAAATGGACAAGGTCTAGTGTAGATAATTCCTTCAAGCTGTGAACAACAACTATAAATAAATTCAATATTCATCCAATTCTTACAAACATCTTGGGGGATCTTTGATGAATCACTCGTAGACTTCAATGTACTCTGAACTTTATCTAAATACAAATTAATATTATTTTTATATAACATTACTACATCTAAATATTAAATATCTGAAAAGGAATAACCGCATACCTTTAATATTTTCCGTAACTCCTTTTGCACTTTCTATGCCATTTTGAATAGATTCTGTGATGGTGAAACAGAAGAGAAGTTAAGCAAACAGAAAGGAAACAAAGAAGGAAATAAAGACTAATAGAGATTCGAAAGTATACCTTTAGCTGTTTCAACAACACCGCCAGTTTCTTCTTCGGGTTCGTCAGGTGTGTTAGAGAATGTGCTTGTTAAGGTGTCTAAGAGAAATAAAGTTAAAATAATTAAAAGAAAAGGAAAGAAAAGAAATAAAGTCACTGCATGCACCCAATAACAAGTCAGTAATTGTAAGAGGCGTAGTAATTACATTAACATGCGTAACTGTTAATTTGCTACTGAACAATGTTCATAATAAAAATCTTACATAACAGCCACTATATCGTCTATTTTTGAATCAACATCAGCACAGTTTCGGAAAATTACACACAAACAAAACTCCAAATTTGCGTGCAATCATATTTTGTACGTACCTATTACGTCTTAAAATTCTTGGGTACTTATGTAAATATACTACTTAATCATTAAAGTATATACAAATATGTTGGTAATTATTAGGGGTGGGGAATATATCGTCCTAGTCGTAGAATACTTACGGATCTGACAAAGATTACATATAAAGATCCGTCAATATTCTACGACTATGACGATATAACAATATCTATATACTGGTCCAATAACGAAGATGTTAAAAGTCTATTATCCAAAAAATTATATTGGATAACAGATTTTTAACATATTCGAAAATAGGTAATCCAACTGATATGGGCGATATCGAAATATGTGATGTTCTTTTTTTCGCCGTCAAAAGAGATGCCAAATATATAGATATTGGTTCGGTATGCATATTACCCATGCCTAGTAATTATAATCATCAAATCTTATCAGAATCATCTGAAATCATTGATACCTTTCGCTGTTTCAACTAGAGCAGCACTCTTATCAACTACAGCACCGGCGACGCATTTTGTCGTGTCTATGGTATTCTGTACAGTGTTTGCTACGGTATCTATAATGATAAACTAGATGTCACGAAAAAAACAATGGTAAGCGAAAATAAATGGGAAGCTGATGCAAACAATAACATTTCGTTTATAGAAGCTAATGATATTACATTCAATGTCGTATATACAGAATGAAATCGAAATTGTTAGCTTAAACTTTTTAAAGAAGTGTGCTCCCTGATGAAGCTAAATATTTTCTTTAAAGAAACATGAGGCGAAAAACATCAAAAAAATTTAAATATCTAACATTAATATAGCGTGTTGAACTGTTAAATTAGAACTCTTACATTTTCGATACATAAAATTTCTGTTCCTTTAATATTTTATAGGTAATCTACCCATACTCTACCATACATTCTCAGTTTTACCAGAGTAAAGAAAATAGAATAAAGTCTTTTTATCTGGTTTTATAAGCATTAACAATTTCGAATTAATCCTGCATAATCATGTTTCGAGGGATATAAATAAACAAAAAAATAAAGAAAACGATACCTTTAGCAGAGCCTATTAATGACGTGCCCTTATCAAAAACTGATGCCGCTACATTTTTAGTGGTATCGAAAGAAGTTTGGACTGTGTTAACCACCGTATCTATGTTGATGCAAAATCAATTACGAATTAATTCTAAAGCTTCATTAAAAATAAAAACACAAAGTAAAATGTTGCATTTTTCTAATAACTACATACTATGAATGGATAAAATATCTACATATGGAATTATCGATATTATGATAATAAGTTATTAACAACAAAAAATCCAAAAAATAAATAAATAGAAACAATTGTTAATTCATTAGGATAATTTTTTAATTTTATTTGTAGTACCTTTAGCAGCTCCTACAAAAGATGTGCCTTTATCTACTGCAGAGGCTGCAGCATTCTTTGTGGCATCTACAGTGCTTTGTACTGTGCCTGTTACGGAATCTAAAATGGATACAACGAAAATAAAGTCCAAATAAAAAATCCAAAATAAAAAAAAAATATTGGATAACAACATACAATTTTATTCTAGATTAGACTGGGTAAAATATGGTCTATTTTAGGAGATGAGCTTAACAGAGCTTAACATATTATGTGTACAAATTTGATGCGATATTTACAAATCAAATTAAATTACAGCAAATATTTAAATTGCAAAACTAACATAATATGTCAAAATAAAATTAGGACAAAAAATACCTTTAGCGCTTCCTACAGCCAAACTGCCTTTCTCGTAAGCTGATATAGCTACATTCTTAGTGGTATCTACTGTATTTAGGACTGTATTTGTAACAGTATCTACAATGTATAATAAATAAATAATAGTTAATGAATTTGATAAATGAAGGATATTTTTATGAATAAATTATAAATTAACTAAAATATAATACCTCTGGCAGTGCCTAAATACGATGTGCCTTTATCAACTCCCGATGTAACTACATTTTTGGTATCATCTACAGTTCCCGTTATTGTATCTACAAAATGTAAACATGATACTCAGAATACAATCTAATAAATAAAATAAAGTACAAAATTAAATGCAACAAAAAAAAAACAATGTTATACCTTTGGCTGTTCCTACTAGAGAGGCGCCTTTATCGTAAGCAGATGTAGCGACACTTTTAGTGGTATCTAAAGTATTTTGAAACGTGTTTGCAACAGTATCTACAATGGATAATAAATAATGATAGTATATTAAATCAATATTGGCAAAATAGGAACATAAATTACAATATGCTTAAAATATAATACCTCTGGCGGTGCCTAAATACGATGTGCCTTTATCAACACCCGATGTAACGACATTTTTGGTATCATCTACAGTGCCCGTTATTGTATCTACAAACGTTAAAATTAAACTCATATTAAACGCGTCAAAGTAAAAAAGTAGAAAATGTATGCAAAAAAAAAATACCTTTAGCCGTTCCTACTAGTGAAGTGCCTTTATCGTAAGCAGATGCCGCGACACTTTTAGTGGTATCTAAAGTATTTTGAAACGTGTTCGCTACAGTATCTACAACGGATAATAAATTATAGTAAATATAAATAACATTAACATTATTAAATAAATAAACTTAAATTGCGATAATTTTAAAATAAAATACCTCTGGCAGATCCTAAATACGATGTGCCCTTATCAACTCCCGATGTAACTACATTTTTGGTATCATCTACAGTCCCCGTTATGGTATCTACAAAGTGCAAAAATTATAATCAAATAAATCATATCTATTAAAAAAGCCAGAAAATGTATAAAAAATATACCTTTGGCAGTTCCTACTAGCGAGGCACCTTTGCCATAAGCAGATGCAGCAACGTTTTTAGTGCTATCTAAGGTGTTTTGAAACGTGTTTGCAACGGTATCTACAATGTGTAATAAATTAAAGTGGTATATCACGTTAGCAAAAAAAAAAAAAAATAAACAAATTACGATGTAGTTAAAATGTGTTTAAAATGGAATACCTCTGGCAGTTCCCAAATACGATGTGCCCTTATCGACACCCGAAGTAACTACATTTTTGGTATCATCTACAGTACCCGTTACGGTATCTACAAAGTACAAAAATGATATCGATATAATATTCATATAATAAGCATATAAAATAAGAAGAAAAGAATTACGCAAACAAAAAATACAATATACCTTTGGCTGTTCCTACTAGCGAGGCACCTTTATCGTAAGCTGATGCAGCGACACTTTTAGTGGTATCTAAAGTATTTTGAAATGTGTTCGCTACAGAATCTACAATGTATAATAAATAACGATAAATTATACATATATACATATGAATAAATATAAATTGCGAATTCTTTAAAATAAAATACCTCTTGCAGATCCTAAATATGATGTGCCCTTATCAACTCCCGATGTAACTACATTTTTGGTATCATCTACAGTTCCTGTTACGGTATCTACAAAGTGCAAAAAAATATATTCACATAATAAGCCCATACAAGTATTAAACTAAATATTATATTCTGAAATACCTTTGGCCGTTCCTATCAGCGAAGCACCTTTGTCGTAAGCTGATGCAGCGACATTTTTAGTGGTATCTACAGTACTCTGAATAGTATTCGATAGTGTATCTACAAAATAAAATATCGAGAATAGTGCAAGTGCGTGATATGAATGAAAACGAAATATTTATACTACACTTGTCAAATAAAAAAAAAAAGCAATTATAAATATTGTGAGCAAGGGTGGGCTTATTTCTGAGAAATATTTTCTAGCCAACCCAATACAGTAAAATAATATAAATGTAAAATAGTAATTATACCTCTCGCGGTGTCTACAAGCGACGTGCCTTTCTGAGCGGCGGTGGTGGCAACATTTTTTGTCGTGTCTACAGTGCTTTGTACTGTACTAGCAACTGTGTCTACAACGTAAAGAAAGAAAATAGAATTCTGAATGATTTTACGAATAACAAAATAATAGTCTCAATCCATTAAAACTTTACCTTTAGCAGTGCCTACAAGCGACGAGCCCTTTTCTACAGCAGATGCAGCAACGTTTTTAGTTGTGTCTACTGTGCTTTGAACTGTGTTTGCTACTGTGTCTATAATGATGAAAAGTATTTATAGATAAATACTTGTAGTAGAGAAAGGTGTTAAAAGTAAAGTTATTTAAATAAAAAATAGTAATATAGATACGAACCATACAGATATGGGTGTGATAAATTAAATAATAAACAACATACCCTCTTTGTGTTCGATCTAATAGAACAGAATAAAGAATTAAACTAAATGACTGTTATTGCTTACTTTGCTTACTTATATACTATACTTCTATGTTATCAGAAAAATTATAAAAATGATGATAAGGATGGTTATCATTAATTAAGAAGTGATAAAAATATCATGAATGATATTTTTATCCCTTTTTCGTCAATTGGAATAATTATGTATATGTATATATATATATATATATATATATATATATATATACATATATATATATAAATCTATCGTCATTGAATATATCATCATCAATATCAGGTCAGTTGAGATTTTGCTCAAGATTATATCTTTTAAACCAGTTACTAACATTTTTTTTTTAATTTGGAATTGGATAAAGGATAATACCTCTAGTGGTTTCGATCAATGAAGATCCTTTCTCAATAGCTGACGACGCGACATTTTTAGTGACATCAAAAGCGGCGTGCACACTATTCGACACAGTATCTACGAATATGATAGTGAACATAAAAAATGGAACACAAAATGAAGCAAAAACAAAATGATTATGAAAAAAAAGTATAGGAACTGAAATGGTCAAAACTTTATATACAAAGATATAATTATTTTTTAAAATCCGAGCATGCCATGATGAAGTATGTGCTAGAAACTAATGGCGATATAACATGATTTACGTATTTAAATTTGGATGAAGTAATATTCGATAATTAAATGACAATGAATGAACCAATTTGTATAATTTAAAAAAAGAATGCTGTTTTTTTTTCCTTCGACTTTCATCCGAAGCGAATCAATTTGAATGAATTATGTTATATCACCATATCTGTCTAAAAGCTATATACTATACACTAATCATAAAACATTGCCTACAAGTATGTTTGTAGTTTTGCACAAAGTCAATGTAGTACAAAGTTATTTAGGTATCTTAGTAGATATATATCTAGGATACATTTTTAAACACACAATTTTTTGACGTCCGTGGATAGATCAACCAAGACATTTTGTTTTTATATTAAAGCAGTTAGTGGTAACAAACATAAAACGCATAACGACACCATTAAATAAACAACACATTGTAGTTATGATGTGGATGTTATGGAAAAGTTCCCAGATGACACATCTATTCTGAATTACCTTTGGCTGAGTCAACGTAACTCTTTCCTGTGTCGGCGGCAGATTGAGCTGCCTGTTTAGTACTATCAACGGTGCTTTGAATTGTACTTTGTACGGTATCTACAAATAAAAGAGTAAATAAACAAAATTGTCTACTAAATTAAAAGGAAATATATACATACATAGCCGATTTTTTACCTTTGGCTGAATCAACATATGATTTGCCAGTCTCAATTGTGCTCAGAGCAGCTTTCTTTGTACTATCTACAGTGTTCGCTACAGTATCTAAAAATATCGAAATAAAAAAGTATGTTCAAATTAAAATTTTACTTCGATTATAGATTAAAACAAAAAAAAAATAGCAAACACAACTGGCAAACAAGCACAAAAGTGAACTTCTTTCTAACTCATTGATGACTAGAAATGTTTAAAAGTTAAGTATCTATTTAAAGATTATTATTAAAAAAATATATTATAGTCATCAACGATTTTAAAAGCTTTTAATTAATATTAATAATAACAAAAATTAGCAGCAAACAAAACGCATACCTTTAGCACTATCTAAATAAGATTTGCCGATGCCATAAGCCGAATATGCGGAATTCATTGCTGATTGAAATGAACTCTGTGCTGTATCTAAAGCATTGATTAGCAAAATAATTAAAACAATTAAATATAAATTAGCACAAAGTACAAACGAACGACACTACATTCAAAAATTATTCAAGTATTATTAGGATCACGATAAATATGCATGTTACATCAAAACTCAACTGGCCAAGTACCGACCTATTTTTGATAGAAAAAAAAAAATTGTCGATAAGAGTGACCTAATATAATTTGACTATAAGTAGTTGTTACAATTAGGTAAATACTTATTTAAAACCTAACAACTTAACCTAATTTTCATTGCTTTTATTTTCAATCAAAATTAGGCAGGTAGGTATATTTTTGGACCATTTAAGTATATTGATTGTGACTAGGACAATTAATGCTTGCATATAGTAAAATACGTTTAATTAAAACAAAGAAACACACTTAAAATTTAACATGAAATACCTTTAGCTGCTTTGGCATAACCTATGCCGGTATCAGCTGTAGTTTGTGTAACTTTTTGAGTATTATCTACAGTATTTTGCATTGTGCTGGTGACTGTATCTACAAAATTAACAATATGAAGTTCAAAACGTGATAAGTAAGTAAATGTCAACTGATTTATTAGCCACCCACATTATCTAGAGAATTGATAATTTGCGATGGAAGGTATAATTAAATGTCATGTCGGAATATACTGTAGGTACATAATTGTAAACAAAACATGATTCACCTAACATCATTTAATATGCTTCAATTTTAAATGTATATTGATTAAATTATATTCAATATTTCCTCTACAAAATTTATATTTATCACGAAGTATTAATTAATCTAATACATTTTTTTTTATGTAACAACACTTACAATTAATTATAAATATTCTCCCAACGCACCATATCGTACCCAAGATACTAGCAACATTACCTTTTTGAATTACTATTATCTATGTGTTTGTTTTTTTTTTCCTAGATACGTGCAAGTTAAAGTATTCCAAACTGTTTTACACTACGCCTGTCTCTATTAATAACGTCGAATATTACTCAAGTACGTAAACAAAATAATGAAACTTGCCTTTAGCGCTAGTGGCGTACCCCAGACCAGCGTCATAAGCCGTTTGGGCGGCCGTTTTCGTACTTTCAACTGTGCCGTGAATTTTATCTACGAAAATACGCAAACACATATAGGAAAATTTTAAAATACGAGAATAAGCGTAATTACAATGAACATATCTTATGCTAAAGAGAAAGCCGGAGAATTGTGCCAGGAGCGTGGGATGTTTATTGTCAAAGACATGTTAGTAGGCGTCGGAACATGCCGGTACGTTTACCTTTTGCGCTGTCGACGTAACTCCTGCCAGTGTCTACTGCTGATTGCGCTGCACTCACTGTATTGTCAACTGTGCTACTGAGTTTATCTACAAATTGTGCATTTAGCTTAGTAATAGTATATGTGCAGGGATACGGAATAGATGTGACCGATACTCACCTTTTGCTGTGTTCACTGCCGACTCCGCTGCTCTCTTCGTATTGTCCACCGTTGTCGCAATTGTATCTATTTGGAATGAAAATATAAAAAAAAAGAAAAAAATTATAAAAAGAATAAAAAAAAAAACTAAAAAAAAAAAACAATAATAACCTCTTTTCATTATTTGTCTGTACAATAAAGTTATAAAAACAAACCTCTAGTAGTATCGACGACCTTCTTGCCATCAGCAACTGCCCTGTTTGCGGCGTCCTTGGCTTCACCGGCGGCCAGGGACACCTTCGACAGCTCCTTGTCGAGGGCATCAATGGCAGAGTTCTTGGCGCTAACGGCTGTTCAAAAATAAATATTTAATATTAAAACATTGCTACTTTCTAAAGAAAACATGTGTGGATTTTACTAAATAGTCTTTATTCTCTAATCTTAGTATTTATTCTTAATAGTTTGTTGAGCGACTGGGGGCTATCGGATATAGATTTAAATAAATAATAACAACTTAGTTTACATTGACATAAATAAAGTTCGATGACATTGTAACCATAACCTTATATCTCGAATTATTATCGATGGTTAACTAAGCTATCCGGTTTGAATGGTGTCACATATGGCAGGGTATTGTGACCCAAAATTGTCATGTCACAAAGGTCGGGAATGCATGACTGATGCTACTAATGTCGCAAGCATTAATGGGCTGCAGTAGCCGTTTATCATCAGACAGTCCGTTACCATGGCTACCACCCACGTTGTGTAAAAATAGATGTTATTTTTCTCCAAAATAGGATTATGGCTTTATGATTATTAATTGACATTATTATATTAATTATTCTGACTGTAAATGTCAATTCAATACTTATATAGATATTTTGATAATTACATATGATATTACCATAGGGAGACTTTGTACAAAAGTCGATTGCTTGGGTACCTTTGTCCCATTCGTGTTTCAACCGTGAAGCAGTTGTGTTTGCATAGCTGTGTTTCGGTTTGAAGGATGGGATATGGCGTGAATTAACAGGATACAGAGGAATAACACCTGAGTCCTCAGGAATGGCAACGCATGGGGGATATCATGGGCGATACAGTATACTCTGTTATGTCCATGGTACTGCTCATGTCTATAGGCGACGGTTACTACTTTCCATTAGATGGGCCGTTAGCTTGTTTGCCATTCTAAGTTGTATAAAAAAAACGTAGTGTATTGACTTAATTTGTACTCATACAGTATTCAAGTTACTTGAAGCTAGTCATGCTAATAAGGTCCTGATTGGTGGTAGTGTGATGAGCCGGGTCGTTGAGTTCCCTAACTAATATGGTTAAGCGCAATGATGGCTGGCTCATCCGTCATACTCGTGAACAAGTGCTTTTTTTTTTTTTAATGGGTAATAATGGAATGGTAACCCCGCCTACGCTATTAGGATACGCTGGCGGGTCACTAGTGTAGGATGATAGGTGAGGATGAAGCAGGTCAGTTAGCCCATCGTGACGAATTCAACAAGAATTGTACACGATGGTTTCCAGGGGGAACCACGTGGAGGTTGACCTAATAGGGCATATTGCTAGCAATGGGGCTGTCAAACTCCATTGCTAACAATCCCTTTTCCTCCCGTGAACAAGTGCTGCGTATAGGGACTGGTCTGCTCATGTTTGCTTGTTTATTTTCCGTTTAATCTATACCTACCTATAATAAATCTGTAGAGAGGTCAATTCTGATCATGAAATATATTTCCAAAATAACTATCAGGGGGTGATTAGTGATCGATACTGATGCCAAAAATGCAATCAGTAAAATTTTTGTCTGTCTGTCTGTATGTTCGTTATAGAAATAAAAACTATTCGACGGATTTTAACGAAACTTAGTACAATTATTCTTCATACTCTTGGGCAGGTTATAATATACTTTTCATCACGCTACGATCAATAGGAGCAGAGCAGTGAAGGGAAATGTGTTTGTTACATCAAAACCACTGAACCGTGGGGAAGGCTCATACATTAAGAAAAACGACGGAAACGCATACATATACATAAAAATACATATAAATAGATACTTAACGCTAATTATAGTCACAGTACCCATGCAAATGCAAAATCAGCTTGTTTATAAAAATGAATTTAAAAAAGTCAGTGTTGAGTTTCTTGCGGGTTCTTCTCAGCAGATAATATCCGGAACCCAGCAGTACAATCAAATATGCAATAAAAAATGACGATTTAAAAGAGCTTGTAAATAAGACTATTTGAATAAAGATTTATTCTATTCTATTCTGTGATCTAGATGAGAGTGAACTGGGAGAAAATAAAAAAAAAAGTACCTACCTACCTACCTACATAGGTCTGTAGAATGTTCTGTCAGTATTAAGTCATTTCAGATAAGAATTTGAATCGTATAATATTATTTGAAAGATTAAGATACGGATTTTACTAATCTTTTTGAAGTGATATATTGAAAATTATTAACATTTGTAACTAGTATATTGTGTCATATATATAAACGATAACTAAAGTTTATCAATAATAGGATATTGCATTATTGTGAGTCACTATTAAACAGAATAACACTTTGATCTTGTTTTCATATGAGGAATTTTTAGAGTCCCATAACCAATACGAAACTCTTAAGTTTAGTATGTTTATTAGAGCCTTGATTTCTGTCTGCCTAGTCTAAAAAGGAAAAGGTATGAATATAATAATATAATGTCTAATAATTTAATTCAATTTGTAAATTAACTATTTTTGTAAAAAATAAAATTAATTAGAACGCTCTATACGCTAGTTCTTTTAAAAACAAACTACGCGTTAGCCATAGATTACAATATAGCATTAGCTATTGACATTCTCTTTCTACGGCGTCAGTCAGTAGGCCACTTACTTATTCTTTTTCTATGCAATAAACTGATAGTTTCTTGACACTCGACTACACAACATTATTTAAACCATAGATTAAGGGTAATATTGACATTCTCTTTGTACGATTTAGAAGTATATTATTCATAGATAAGGATGGACTTTCTGTTTCTATGATATTATTATTTATTAGCTTTTACCTGCGACTTTGCCCGCGTGACTGATATAAATGTCACCTACCCTATCCGGGAGGGGGGGAAAGGGATAGTTAGTAATGGAGACTAAGAATCCCATTGTTAGCAATATACCCAACCAGGTCGACCTCCACGCGGTTCCCCCTGGAAACTATCATAGTTAATTCCTGATGAATTCATCATGATGGGCTAACTGGCCTGTTTTCATTTTCATCTATCATCCTTCACTGGTGCTCCGCCAGCGTATCCCGTTAGCGCGGGCGGGGTAACCATACCATTTTCACCCATAAAAAAATACTCGTTCACAATATTTATCCTTAATCTATCTGATTAAAACATAAAATAGAGGTATTTGTATCTATTCCAGAATTTGTATATTTTAATTGGGAGATGTTTGTTTAACTGTTAATGTTAGGTTTACCATCGACATTTACCTGAGTTAGCAGCCCCCTCAGCGGCCTGTGATGCCCCGCCGATCACTTCACCGGCCTTCTTCACCTGGTCCTCGACCACGTGGGCCGCATCCTCAGCCTTCTCTTGGGCCATCTGTTCAACGTCCTTCTTCTTGCGATCGAAGAGAGACGCGGTCTTTTCTCCGATGCTTCGGAACGCTCCTGGAATAATACCATTTAATTACAAAAATAGAACTTCTTACGCCTCTTTATAAAAAAGTTGTTTATAATATCATCATTGCACTTGCAAGAAAACTGTGTTCATTGCTAAATATAGACCTCACTTATTTTTTTTATTTTTTATTTTTTTATACCACTGAGGTGGCAAACAAGCCATTTTATATGATATTTAGAATGGCACAAACAAGCTGACGGCCAACCCTTTGGAAAGCGGTACACGTCGCCTATAGCCTTGAATAGCATCCTGGATATCACAAAATACACTGCGACATCCTTGGTATATTTCTATAGTATTGAATATCTTGTTGATGTTATTATTTACTTTTGTAGTAATAGTTCTTAATTATATAAGATAAGTACGTCAACTGGTGAGTGTTTACCGTTAGCCTAAAGGTTTTATGAGTGTGCATTTGAAGCTGAAATCCCGTTTACTGCATTATCTCGGCGAAACCTATTTCATTTATTGGTGTAACCCACCACTACAGAATAGTATGTATTATATTATACTTCGTCACTAAAGCTAAATTGTAGTAAGTTTTCGAATGTGAACTGTGGCTTTATAACTAGGTTTTACATTTATAAATAATCAGTTCCGCGGAAATCCGAATTTCAGTTGGTATAATAAAAATGTACTGAATATAAGGTTGGTAAAGATTGTATGCCGATAAGACCGCCTTTTGTATGACTTTATCTTAATTATTTATTGATTCTTTTATAACCGGTGCAATAAAATTTATAAATAAATAAATAAATTTAATCCTTAGCTGATTTGTCACTTTCTTTCAATGTTTGCTTTCATAATCATTATCCGCTTTTGCTTAAAATATACACACAAGAAGTAAAATGAAAGTATGTACTTATTATTTCTGGCAATAAATAATAATAAACTTTATTTTTAAATATTATTATTTCAAAAAGATTGCATTTTAAGGTCCTGTTTACCGTTTGTTGCAATAGTTAAGTTAATTTTTTTTAACCCATAACTTATAAATTATAGTTCGAAAAGGATTCAAAACTTTTTTTCTAATTAGAACGTTACGTTTTTCAAAAAAGTTGTTTGTAAAGATATCAAAAAATAAAGAACAGTCAGGCTCGTGCTTGTGTCACAGTCAATTATGAGTAAGGATCACAGATTAATTCCGAAACTAGTCGAGCTTTTTCGATCTAATTACACGTAAATTAAACCGCTAGTTACTACATTATGATACCAAGAAAATTACAAATTTGTAAATTTACATTAAAGATTTACATTTTAACGAATAGAAAAAATAAATAACACATTTGCATCGGTAATAAAATTTATTGGTATCTACTTTATAAGACGCCTCGTAAACAGATGACGTAAACAAGTTTAATAGCTTACTATGATGGATAAAGGAAATTAATGTAGCTACTTCTTATTTCAAAATACGTATTCTTATTTATGTTAGTAAATAAGGTCCAATATTCCGTAATCTCTTTCTGCCTTTCTCAAACAGTAGAGTATAGTATGTATATTACAGTAAAAAAGATGATTTTAAAGTTCTTTTTAGTAATAATAACAATGTAACAAAATTACAAAAAAGGGAGTTAAATTTTCAAAACAATCATTTAGAATCACTGCGAAAGTTTAAGTTTATTTAAAAACAACTATTAAAATTAGAATCGAAAAATAAATAAAAAAACATATCTTGTGTAAAAGAAATACAAAAAGTTATTTAACCAGAGTCAATTATGAGTAGTTTCTATTGATCTCACATACTGACACAAATCTTATGCAATATATTTTCTGCTGTTGATATTTCGATTCCATATATCGTTAGTTAGATAGAGGACGTCCCCCAATTGTACCAATATGTGGTATTTATAATAATTTTTATTTAAAATTTTGACGTTCATACATGACAATCTTATAGGAACAATATTATAGAATAATTAAATATTAGACGCGTATAATTTAGATACAAAAATAAATTAAAATCACTGCAGGGAGATCTAAATCTTTATATTGTTATCAAAGAATGATAGACAATATATTCAAGTATAACTGCTCTGAAGGTCACCAATGCTGCAGTCCAATCGATGATAAATTTTATCCGAACTGTTTCTCTCCCTTTCTCCGTCGAAGAAAGAAATTTTTACACGTCTCACAGTTCTCATAATTATAAAGATTCAGAAAACATGTTCTTTTTTTATAATTTTAAACTAACATATTTTTATCTTTTTTTTTTCTATGACTATAAAAATATATTTCCACGTTTATAAAATACACGAGTACGTATATTTTTATTATTAATGTTAAAGAAAATATAAATCATTTATATAATGTGGGATACCTATGCTACTTTTATTCCATATGTGCAATTTTCTGAAAGTAGGTCAGGCGGTTTTGATGCAATAAAATAAACATTGTCCGCGTCTGCATTACAGAAGTCCCACGACAAGCTTTCGTATTGATTTTCACATTACCTCGGTCAAGATAGTTTTTTATGGTATTAAAGCACCATAAAATGTTATATTATAGTACTTACTATGTATTATTTAGGTTTACAAAGTTACATCAATATTTCTTTGTTTTTCTAATGAGGTGATAATAAAAAAAGACCCTAAAACCTATATTTTACAGGAAATAGACTTATATATAGAGATTCGGAAGAAATAATATAATAAATTATTATATCATATATTCCATACCTATTTACTTACTTAAAAATAAAAAATATACTAAGAAATAATAAAATATAATACTTATTCTATTCGAATCTATTTTTATAATCAATATATTTTTTGTTTATTTTAAAGATTTTTATCCAAAACTATAATAAATTATTTATGATGATCTATCATCATACATCATCAAATCTATATATAAGTACCCAATAACTGTACAATCTATAGTACATTAACATTGTTAATCATTATGTACGAGGTCTGTCCGGAAAGTTCGTATAAAAGTGTTCTGGAATGCGAGAAAGAGGAGTGGGGAGGCCAGGTAAGCGCAGGACCCCTTCCTTATGTATATAGTTTTAATTAGTCAAAGTAGAAATGAACTCACCGTCTGTTTATCAGTCAGCGTGGAATAATACAATACACATTAATAAATTACAGTCAATATTTATTAATATAGAGGTAAGTATTAAAATTTTGGAAAACATTACTATGTAACTCTACAAAATTTCTAACTACCATTGACTAAATGATTTGTCTATAAAAAGGTATAATTTCTAAAATAATTAGGTACTAAACATGCACGTGTATAAGTGGCTTACGAAAACTTTCACTATGATATCTAATTTAATATACTTACTAGTTGATCTACAATGAAGTGTGAATTTATTAAATGCATTCCTTTATTTGTAAGTTGGTCAAGATATGTGCTTGAAAGTATTTATTTATAAATAAAGGGTGAATAATATTATCATCTTGTGGTCTCTATTAGTGACATTACATTTTTCTTAAAAAACATGGGTTGACGATAAAAATTTTGAGATTCTAAACTAATTTAATAGCTGGACACAGGGCTGGATTATCCACATTGGGTCCACTGAGTCATGCACGTCTCGCTTTCAAAAAGACCACTTTATTATTCTACATATAATAATTTGAAACGCGTTACGAAATATATTGATATTAATATAAAAATAAAATATAATAATATTTTCATTAAGAAACCTTCGAGTTAGATAAAAATTTTCATTAGTAATTTGCATTTAAAGAAATTAAAAAATAAAAGTTTTTATCAAGACGTGGGGCCCATAGCCGATGATGGCCCCTAGTCAGATATCTACATTGCCTAATAGATAATTCGGTGCTGGCTGGGCGCGTCATTTTAGTAATGGAGGCTAAAAATTTTTAGTTATGTGAAGAACTATTTTAGATACCTTCGACTTTATCTCTATAGACAATGAAGCAGAAAAAAATTAAAATGTTGAAATTGATATAGTGAAACTGAATGACTTGTGCCAGAGAGGGACCGAAATATAAGTCGGAATTATAAAAAACAAGTTCAATATATAATACTTTGAAGGGAGTGGCTTTTCATGAATAAATTGCTGTATTTATTGAAGCTTTTTGTACCCTTTCAGTCACCTCGAATATATGATTAGGAATTACTATAATTACCGTAAGATTCAAAACAGAAAATAACAATAAGCTACATATAAATACTAAATCTAAAGTATAAGGATGAGGTATTTGAGTCAAACATGTTTTCTTGTTTATAGCATCTAAGTAGATTCTACATACATTCTAGTAACTATTGGAAATAACTTGATATAATGAAAAAATAAAAATAAGAAAAACTACGAAATTTGTGAATGTACAATAAAAAATTTCAAACTAATGTAACGGCCGAGACCGTTAAATGTTTATATAGACCATAGATTAAGAATAATACTATTCTCTTTCCACGATCTAGACCTTAGACTCCTTTGATTTTTGCCCGATATCAAATTATAAGATCATTTGATAGTACAAGGAAGTATTTTATAATCTAGTACATTTTAATTATTATTGTTCTCAAGATTTTAATTAAACATACATGTGTATCCCGTAAACCTACCCAGAATTAAAGTAAAATTAAAATTTAATATATTTAATATATGACTGCGTCAGTATATGATACTACAAAGCCCTTGTTCTGGTATTTAAAAAAAACATGTTTGTTTGACATAAAAAATGGCTATATTCCCAAATCGTCCGAATCGCGACCAAAGTATCTACTATGAGTATTTTTGTTGACTAAAGTCAACACACTCGGTAACTCGATTTTCAACAGACACAATAATTAAGATTCTGTTCCGCAAAACGAAATCCATTTCAATTGCGGCATGGAATCAATCTGTAAGCATTTTCCTTTCAGAGAAAAAAAGAATTTTTCAAATCGGTTTACAAGTGACGGAGTTATGAGGTAACAAACGTAAAAAAATAACCCAAATGAGAACCTTCTTCTTTCTGAAATCGGTTGAAAGTCCACAACAATAAAACTAGGTCCAATAATATGG